GAGTGTTGCGAGAGAGTGTGAGTGTTGCGAGAGAGTGTGAGTGTTGCGAGAGAGTGTGAGTGTTGTGAGAGCGACTGTTGTGAGAGCGACTGTTGTGAGAGAGGGGAGAGTGTTGTGAGAGTGTTGTGAGAGTGTTGTGAGAGTGTTGTGAGAGTGTTGTGAGAGTGTTGTGAGAGTGTTGTGAGAGTGTTGTGAGAGTCTGGAGGTAGGTACAGAGTAGTAAAGCGAGCAGCATACGGGAAAAAAGTGATTCGTTCGTCTCTGAGATCATATAAACCCCATTCCTCTTCATTACTTTTCTTTTCTTCCTCTTTTGTACATCGTCATCGTATCCAAGAGAAACGAGAAAAAAGGGTCGGTAGTCATTGATCCCCAAAAGAAAAAAAAACGTCAAGTCGTTCGTTTGTTCCTGGCTTTTTTTCTCTTTGGTTGGGGAAACAATACTCTTTTTTCCCTTGCCTCGTCTTCTCCAAAAAAAAGAACACAAAAGAAGGTTGGTAGAATGTGATATAGGTACATTTTTCTTCCTTTCCTCCCCCCCTGCAACATCCGGGCCCCTTCTACTCATTACTGAGTGGTGTTGTTTATTTACCTCATTCCGCCGAGACCGGCGCCCATTGCGCTGAGTCGGCTCGCGAGCTTGGGGTACTTCTCCTGGACCTCGAGCTGCGTGCGCGTGGCCTCGGCGTAGCTGAGCGCGTTGATGATCTCGCCCTCGGTGCGCGAGAGTTCGGCCGCGCGCTCGAAGTACTTGAGTGCCTCTGTCACTTTGCCCTGTTGCAGGAGGAGCTGCGCCATGGTGGCGACGGCGATGTCGCATTCTGGGTCAACTGTGAGGGAGAAGATTGTTAGTAAAAAAAGCATTTCGCAAGGAAGGATTGGTACTGGATTGTTCAGGAAGGGGGGGTTGAACTTACTGATGAGGGCCTTCTCGCAAAGCTTCTCGGCCTCGCCGAAGTCGTTTTTCCATTGGAACAGGGCGAGGGCCTTGTTGATCAGCGGCAGGACGTTCATGCCCATGGGCTTGATGCTCTTCTCCATCTCGACGGCGGTGTCGAACTTCTCGATGGCTTCCTGGTATTTCTGCTGGTCGAGCAGCAGCTCTCCGTAGTAGTTGTAGACGTCGGGGACCTTGTCGAAGTTCTTCATGCAGCGGCGGAAGGTTGCCATCGACGAGGCGATGCTGCCCATCTTGTACTGTGTGACACCGAGCTGGATGTGCGAGAAGATAAAGTCCTTATCCAGGTCGATCGACTTCTGGTAGTCCTTTGCGGCATCGCCGAACTCGGACTTGATGAAGTGAAGTTGTGCGCGGTGGTAGTAGATATCGGGGTCGGTGTTGTCTTGGGCGAGGGCAGCGTCGAAGTCGCCTTCGGCAGCATCAGGGTTGGCTAAGAAATGTTAGTTGGGTGTCAGATGTGATCAAATAATTCGGCTAAACATACCGAGCTCGAGATGCATGCTGGCACGCTTGATGTAGCTTTGTGTCAAAGATGGCTGGAGTTCCACACTCTTATCCATGTCCTTCAATGCGTCATCGTTCTCGCCCTTAAGGTATCGGAAGGTTCCGCGCATGTTATACGCAAAAGCCTCATGCTCTCCGAGATCGCCCAGCTCCAATGCCTTGTCAAACGCAGCAGCAGCCTCGTTATAGCCATCGGAGGTCTTGGTGTCCATTGCGCTCAGGCCCTTCCTCAGCTGGCCCTTGCCACTGTTCTCGTCGAGGTCCGCATCCTCCTCGAGGCCGGCTGGTGGGGGCTTCGGTCGGAAACTCTGGAGGTAATTTGTGACGAATGTGGGGCTGGGAAGCTTCTTCTCCTTGCCTTGAAGGATGGCCTTGCCCTTGGCCTCGGCGACCTTCTTCAATAATCTCTCCACGCTCTGTGCGCTGGCCTCGTTGCGGAATTGATCGATGATGCAGCTTGCTGTGTAGTCGAGAAGAGCCTCGCTGTTGCGCTCCACCTGCTCGTATGCGTTCGCTCGTCGGTTGAGGGCCTTGACGTACTCGTTGTCCAGGTTGATGGCCGCGGTTGTGTCCTCAATCACCTTATCCCAGTTCGACATTGCGTTCCAGCAGGCAGCTCGATTCGAGTAGAAAACAGGGTCCTGCTTGCAGATGATCGCCTTTCCGTACAGCTCGATGGCGCGATTGTAGTCCTTGGAGCCGTATGCCTTATTTCCAGCCGCCTTCAATTTTGCGGCGTACTCTTTCCGTGTCTGTGAAAATCAGTCGCTGTTCGGAACGGGAACTTTGAACGCCCAAAAACCCTACCTCTTCGGAGAGAGAAGCTACTGAATCCTCATCAACCTCTGGTAGCTCATCTTCAGCTGCGGGTGCCACTGAAGCCTTCTTGGGCTCTATTCCGTGTCAGCGCATATTCTCGAGAAAAAGAGATTGCGAACGTATTCCTACCAGCAGCCTTAGGTTCGTCTTTTGTAGTGTCCTTCTCGGCCCTTTCCTTCGCCTTCTTGCGGTCTCGCTTCTTCTTCGTCTTGCTCGCTGATGTTGAGCTCGATGATGAGCCGCCGGTCGAATCTGATGAGAGATAGTAGATGACGCCACCGGCGCCAACCACGAATGTGACACCTGCGACGGCATACACTGTGCCCTTGTTCTCAGACGCCCAATTCGATAACCTTTCCCATAGCGAGCTTGTCTCAGCAGCAGGAATTCCAACGGGGAAAGGACCGGGGGTGTTGGGGACGGGGGCGGCGTTCGCGGACATGGTCGGAAGAGAGATGCACCAGATCGAGAGGGAATATTACGCAGCGATTGAGATGGGGGAATTAGTTGGGAACACGCTCAATGGGCGGTTGTAAGTACAGATGGAAGGGTAGGTGGACGTGGATGTGTGATGTCTTTGAAGCTGCCGATAGGTAGAAAATTGGCTAGGCTCGCTCTGAGTAAGGAAACATGACATGGCCCATGCTTTTTCACACCAAAACGTCATCACCAGAGAGACCCATCCGACAACCGAGTCCCCAGTCTGTCTACCAATTTAAATACGACGAAGCCTACTTGCCAGGTCAGTTATGTTCGTGTGAAGACATCTTTATTATATTTAGACTTGACGGGGACGGCGTCGTGAACGCTGAATACATTGTCTTCGTCATGCATTTCCTTCTATCAGGTATTCGTTCTTCATCTGTTGCTCAGGATAACCCCCGCTTCATGTGCTAGTTGTAAGCAACCAATCCACCGAGGGCGGAACCTCTATGACCCGTAGAGCTTCAAGTAGTCCGCCCATATTCATGGTGTTGGTAAAGGTTGTTCCAAAGTTCGCTCTTCGCCGTCGTCCATCTGCTCACGTGACCCCGTCACATACAGTGCGATACCATATATCCTGTCTTGTGTAGTGGAGGCTGGCGTATTTTGGACAGTGGTTCAACATTTTCCATTTTTCTTTGCTCAGCGGATGAGATACCATGACTGATGCATTTGGCAGAATATCAACATGTCTTCAGCATCGTTCCGTATCATCTCTACCATACGCTATGACTCGCTGCTATTGCAATCCGAAGAGAACTCCTCACTGAGCTTCACTTCGCCATCGCCAATTTATATGCTGGTCTACCATCGCGATAGACTCATGGAAGCAGCACAGCACTTCGAGTTCCCCGCCGTCGTCGAACGACTGCAAGATGGGAAGTCATTCCATGAAGATCTATCCAAAGCAGTGCAAGACTGGAAATCCCATAGCAAACAAGGCGGCGAACAAGATTCACCCCTGAAACTCCGGGTACTCTTCTCAAAAGACGGAACCCTCGCCGTCGAATGCACACCAACGCCAGCACTGCCACTCACCTCACTCTACCCCCCATCTCTCGACCCTCCGCGACGCAGCGACGTCTCGCGGCAAACTCGGCCCTTCAAACCATCCCCACTGACAGGCGGAGCCCTGGACCTCGGACCCGCGCAGAGTCTGCCGACGCCCAAAGACGACCCCTGGACGTGGAAACTCAAGCTCGACACGGCTCCTACGTCGACCTGCCCTGCTACTCTGCTGAAAACCACGGCGCGGGACTTGTACAATGTCTCCCGGTCTCGGGCCCTGCCCACCCACCCGACCGCCCCTACGAGGGTGGAGACGATCATGTATAACGAATGCAACGAGTTCACGGAAGGGTCCATCACTTCTCTTTATTTCTACCGCGGTGGACGATGGGTAACTCCGCCGGTGGGTGTCCCCGCCGGCCAATTGAGCGCAGAAACTCTGCAGAGCAGTGAGGATGGGGAAAGATGGGATGAAGGGGAGTTGAGAAGGCCCTTTGCTGGACGGTGGGGCCATAGCGTGAGGAGTTCAAAGGTTGGAGCCGGAGGACAGAGGGGTACGACGAGAAGATGGGCTCTCTTGAAGGGGATGTGCATGGAAGAGCCGATCAGCGTAGATACTCTTGAGGTTGGAGAGGGGGTGTGGGTGAGCAACGGAGTGATTGGATTTGGGTTTGGTAGAGTTGTGGAATAGTCAACATACTATACTACCTCACGGATTATGTAGTGATTTAGAAAGGATGCGTGGGTACAGTTTCTGTCGCTTTCCGATCGTTTGGAATGGCCATTATTAGTGACAGATCTATCTTCATCCGCCCACGCTCTCCACGCTCTCCGATGGCAGAATCGACCGATCGGTCGGACTACCTCTCTCATGCCTGTCCATGGTACATATACATTAAGGTACAGTACGTACGCCAACGCCACTCTTCTCGGGATGAAAAGAATTCTAGAGACGGGGGGAGAGTCTAGGTGGGTGTGTTGTAAGTGAGAGAGTGCTGTGTGTTGTAAGAGATTGTTGTGAGTGTTGTGAGAGAGTTTGTTGCGAGTGTTGTGAGAGAGTTTGTTGTAATTGTTGTAAGAGAGCTTGTTGTGAGCATCATAAGAGAGGAGAGAGTGTTGTAAGAGAAGAGAGAGTGTTGTAAGAGAAGAGAGAGTGTTGTAAGAGAAGAGAGAGTGTTGTAAGAGAAGAGAGAGTGTTATAAGTATTATAAGAGAGGAGAGAGTGTTATAAGTGTTATAAGAGAGGAGAGACTGTTGTAAGGATTGTAAGAGAGGAGAGAGTATTGTAAGATAAGTATGTTGTAAGAAAGGGTTGTAGGAAAGTGTTGTAAGTGTTGTGAGTGTTGTGAGTGTTGTGAGTGTTGTGAGTGTTGTGAGTGTTGTGAGTGTTGTGAGTGTTGTGAGTGTTGTGAGTGTTGTGAGTGTTGTAAGTGTTGTGAGAGGGTGTTATAAGAGAGTGTTATAATAGACAGTATTATAAGAAACAGTGTATATATATTGTTAGAGAGGAGAGAGTGTTATAAGTAAGAGTAAGTGTTGTGAGTGCAAGTGAGTGTTGTAAAGGAGAGTAAGTGTTGTGAGTGAGAGAAAGTGTTGTAAGGGAGTGTTGTGGGGGAGTGCTGTGGGGGAGTGTGCGTGTGGTGTGAGAGCGGAGAGAGACAACATGCCGATCGCGAACGGCGGCGATTTCGGACAATATGTTGTGCCGATAGAAACAGCAATGCTCTCAACAAGGAAGGATTCAGGCAGTTGTAGGAGACATATTGTTCGAGGTTCTCCGGGGGAGGAAGTTGTGGGGTCCGGTCGACCCAACGGCAGGCGGAGCAATCTACGGCCTCAACGCCGCCTGCCCTTCATTGAGGACGATACATGAGGGAAAAGGCCAAGCCAAAGAATAGGCCCCATGAAATAAGTAATAGGTCCAAATGCCATCCATTTCTTCGCCTCTGGAGATTTGACGAACAGAGCTTACTGTTTTATTCATCATGCTTGCAGAATCCCGGACGAACGAACTGACTCCTCACATACGAAAGCGCTGGCGGAGTTCCAGCTTCAAGGGAACGAATAGCCTGGCACAGCCATTGACCAGCCAAACTGCAACGACTACAACCAATTCAATAGGTGTGAGTTAGAAGAGGGAACAATTAGCCTCATAATAGGCATCGGGCCAACTAACAATGATCAGGACAAGGACGACACAAATGTTTCCTCCAATTACACACCTGCAACCTACACTCTCACAAACATCAAGTCTCTGTCACAACTCTTCGATCAGTCAGTCGAAGCTAAGATATGGGGCATTGCTGTCAGAGGTCTAAATCAGCCCTCGCCTCCCGTGTTCTTTCCCGAATACACCAAGCCTGGAGGACTCCATTACGTATATCGAGAGCTTGATTTTTGGACCTCTGGCTTCTTCCCCGGAAGCCTTCATCTCTTGCTTGAGAGGAGGAGAAATCATGGGTCTATGATCTTTCCGGATGATGCTACTACACAAAGTGTCCATGAACTTCATTTGGAGTACAAAACCCGGTTCCCTTCTGCGCCCAAGCTTGCTAACAAGGTGACCTAGACACGCATGCAAGGTTTGGACAGAGAGCCTGCACCAAAACGCACTTCTGCGAAATACGCACGACATAGGCTTCATGATCATGCCATGGGCTAGGCCTGCGTACGAGCTCAATCACGATCTTCGAGCTTTGGAGACGATCAAGACAGCGGCACTGAGCCTTTACTCCCGCTTCGATGCGAGGATTGGTTGCATACGAAGTTGGGATACGTGTGTGACGAAAAAGTACAACTTTCGTGATCCACGCTCGGAATTTATGATGATCATTGTGAGTACTGCCTCGGGGTAGATTTGAGCACTGTTCCGTGTATCACATCAAAGTTAACATAATATGTAGGATAACATGATGAATCTCGATCTCCTATTCTACGCCGCTTCTAAGACACACAATAAGGAAATGCACGCTGCAGCTGTCGAGCATGCTCGCACGACGATGCGCACGCACATTCGAGCGGATGGCTCCACGACTCATCTTGTAGTATTCGACACCAACACCGGGGAAATTCGACAACGCCTTACCAATCAGGGATACTCGCATACGTCTTGCTGGTCTCGGGGACAGGCGTGGGCAATCGCTGGATTTGCGGAAACATACATGTGGACACATGAGAGAGAGTTTCTAGACACTGCTCGACGTTGCGCTGACCATTTTCTGGGTCGCCTGGCCGAATCTAACATCGTAGCTTGGGATTTCGATGCACCGGAGACAGAAGGCACGAAGCGGCCAACCGACACAAGTGCTGCCATGATTGCCGCCTATGGAATGGTTTTAATTCACAAGGCTTTGCTACAGACAGGCGAGACTTCAGACTACCTCCTGGCAGCTTTGAAAATCACCAACAATGTCTGTGCCAATAATATCAACCACAAAGCTTCGTTCACCGCAACCAAGCATGACATTGAAACAGTTGAGCATGGCTCCATCACGAACACCACTCTTGGGGTAGATATGGGCGAGAGCGAGACGATTTTGAACGGTGCGACTATCAACAATTATGAATTCGCTCCTCGGAGATGGGCTGATCATGGACTTGTCTACGCCGACTACTTCTTCATACTTTTAGGAAATCGCTTGTTGGATTTCGGATTGATTCCGTTGAACAAGAGAGGGCTATGAGGAAAACGCGCTGACTCGCTGATTGGGTAGAAATGAACAGTCAAGAAATGAACCTAGATCTTCAAAGGCTATTTGCCCATTTCCATCGAATGGCAATCCTTCTGGGATTGACGACGCTCCGTTACTCTGAATAGTGTGTTCATTGCCTTGACCCAGTGATGTGTAGCCCAGGTAATCGAGGTTGGGAGATGGCATGGCGGTCGGGTCTTTACTAGATGGCTGCGCCTGGAATGCGAGAGGAAGAGGGGGAAATGCGAGCGTGATGCTATCAGGAGTTTCACATTGGCCCGTAGCCCCTGGCGGATTCTCCCCACAAGCTCCCGGCATGCTGTGCGCTACGCCGGAAGCACCGTTGCCTTGTTGAATGTCGTCTGAACTACCCTTCGCCGTGCCCAATTGATGTTCAGGGTACGCAGCCTGTCGAATGTCCAAAGTTTGGTCACCATAATTTCGTGCGTGGTTCAGACGCAACGCAAATTTAGAAGAGAGATTGCCACCCGGCGCCGAGGGATCCCCATTCCACCTATTTGCCATCTCCATGAGACTTTCAAGAAGGCTGTCGAACTGCCGGGGAAGCGGGATGCTATAGTAAAGGGAGTGGGTAATGAGCATTCGGCCGCATATGAAAAGACAGAATGCGAATTGAGGATTTGTGAGACATTTGCTGTTCCGAAGGAATTCATCCGTAATGATAGAAACTTCCACCGCAGCTGCCATGCAGGTTTTGGCGCTCGCTGCAGACGGCAGATTGATGGGAAGTGACTGCCACTCTGACGAAGGATATGCAATGCCTTGGTGTAAGAGCACGACAGCGGTGTTGTGTGTAATATGCGCTAGGGTAAGATTTGGATCCATGTTTCCATCGCTATTCAAGGCGCATGCTTCTCTCCAACGCTCTGGTAGGAATAGCTTCCATCTGTTCCCATTGTCAGATGTTGCTGCGGTTTTGCTAATCGGCAGGCATACTTACTGTACTAAACGAAGGTCCAGTTGTTTGAACCTCATCAGCCAAAGCTGAACATCATGCGCCTTGGCGACGTCCACCGCTTGCTGTAGGAAGAAAGACGTGACGAGACTCAAGCTCTCAGTGGCCTCGATACAATAAGCGAATCCGCCCAAAGAAGCTTGATCAGCCTCCTCAGATCGAACGTTTGGCAAGTGCTGTCTAGCATCACAAGGAGGATCTGAGACCCCGAAATAAGGGGTCGGGGTCTCCAGAGATCGACCTTCTTCCCAGAGTGCTCCTTCGCATGGCAGTCGTCTTTTGACATCAGCACTAGTCAGGCACACATTCCATCCAGTGGCTATGCTGCAAAATCGATCCATCAGAAAGACATTCCAGAAAACCCGGCGGCGCTCTTCTCTTTCGGTCCAGTCTTTGCAGGAAGGGAGGAAATGCATTCGTTTAACAAGCGCCTGGGTAACACCTGGTATTGAGGCTTGATCTTCGTCTTCAATGCTGAGTTGTAGTTGTTCGACTGTTCTTGCCATGCTGCCAACGATCGACCATGCCGAAGGACCCCGACCACTTCCAATCGTGTCGAATGCGCATATGATCAGAGCTTGCAAATTTTCTACAGAGAAGGACTCCATGCTTTGTAGAATTACTGCTTGTCTGCTCAATTGCGCCAGTCGTAGCTTTGCCTCTGCATCGCCAAGTCGATGATCATTCTGAAAGCGGACAGTAACCGATACAATGGCGCGCAAAATGGTAGACAGCTTCAATCGTTCCGTCGGGACCACCATTCGTTGTCGAAATTGACGAACGTGTAGGATAGGGATCCAGGGATGAATTCGATCGAAATAGATCTCAACCAATGTATCCACCAGATCCGGAGGGAGGAAGCCGTTGTCGGCAGATTCGTGCTGCAAATTCGAGGGTGATCCTAGTGTCGCTTGCTGCTCGACTCGTCGACGTTTTGCTGGCCCCGTGGTGGACGCTGATGTCAAATCACTTCCTGCAGAACGTTTTTGGCCAAGATCATGAAGGGTCTGCCGGACTTGTGAAGTGTAGCCGGCTAAGCTGTTCGTTGAAGGAGTGGAAACCGGCTCGTGGATGCCTTTTGTTTGTAGACAATCCAAGAGTTGGTGAATCAAAACGCCTTGGCCCAAAAACATGCTTTCAAGATCATCTATGCGTTTGGTGAGTCGATCGATCGCGCCTGCTTTCATGCCTGGCTTCCCTTTCTCGGCGTCGTACTGGCAAGTTATGTCGTTTCTGAGACAGTGAGAGCAGGGTCGCTGTCTGGAGCATTTGGCCTTCTTCTTTCGACATGCTCGACATGCTGGCCCAGTCCCATCCTCTTTGGTAGTATTGTTGGCACCATTGTGCGCATCACGCTCATCATGTTCAGATGCATCAAAGTCCATTGAGCCTTTGACCTCCAAGACGGCCCGTTGAACGCGAGAATTTCTTATGAAGAAGGTGGCGCCAGTCGCGAATATTAGGACGCATCATTGGTAACTACAAGGGTCACCGTTTCAAGCTTCTGATAGATTTCTGTGGGGTAGGAATGGCGGGGAAATGCACAAAAGGGTCAAGCTTAGTGAAGGGAAGGGGTCAACAGCTCGAGGGAGGTGGGAGGCCATAGAAGCCCAATTGGGACTAGCCGCGGGATTCCGGCCTATTGATCGGAGGACAACCCGTCCTTTGGTTTGGTATATGGCATAGCATAGCATACATTATGGTGGGCACATCATGATAACTCGTATAGTAACCTACCTATTAATTAGTATTACATCCTACATTCATCGAGATTTCCGTCGAACTGAGATGCTTTCATTTCATTATACATTCATTTCATCTTGCTGAGAGCTACCATCCACTCAGAATTCTTGATGGGCTAGATCAGGTAGCACGAATTACCCCACTGCCCCCACCGCTGGAAGATGAAATTCATTGTGAAATTCTACTATTGTCTTTATTAAAATACGCTCTTAGGATGTTTCGAGTAGCTGACCTGTTTTATTTTTCACTATGAAGCCGTTTTGTCCGAGCTGTACTGCATCTGATGGGTGGTCTAGCACTGGCGTGGCGGTAGTATCCAGAGAATTTCAACGTGAATGCTACTTTCGCTCACAAACAAGGGACAATCGCCCTTACTTGAGCTCCCGTGACGGCGATGAAGATTCCATCTGACCACTTCCCTCACTATCAAGAAAGTTCATTGGAAAACAATAGTAAGATTGAGAAAGTGCGATTGAATAAACGGAACTAGAGTTGCGTAATGCCATTTGTCCAACACTGTCACTTCCCGCCACAGACACCTCAGCCAACACTGCTCCTATCTTCGTACCAATTTTCTACGTTGGTACACGGCTAATATACATAGCGGAAGTTTGGGTTCTCAATGTCCGTCAGATCCGAGAAAGCCAGGTCATGCGAAACCTCGCTGACATTGGCCTCCTTGACGCGATTCCTCCGCATCAACACCAATCGAGAAATGACGACAATGATCATGTAGACTCCGTAGACACCAATGTGCACAATGAATCCCGACAAGTACCTGGGAGCATCTTTCTCTCGGAAGATCTGGGGCGCGATCAAGTTGCCTACCGCCCAGCCGATGAAAACCATGCTCATGGTAGTAGACTTCTTGGTCTGGCCTGCAATGTTCCGCGTCACGAGCGAGATGATCATGTTTCCCTGGGCGAGAAAGAACTGGGTGCAGTAGAAAGCGATGAGCATGCCGCCGGAGTTCGATTTGGTCGGTTTGACGATAAGGATGACGATGGTGCCAACGATGGCCGGGATTGTCCAAACCTGGTTTTTGTTAACGTTAGGAAGTGGTCTTCCGTTGTTGGGCGACTGGATGTAGGTACTTACAATCATGGTAAGGCAGGTTTGCCCTGACTTTTGAGAAACTTGTGCAGAGCCGATCATCAACATGATCTGCCAGGCACCCTGTGCGATATTGAGCAGTTGAGTCTGGAGCAGCGAGAACCCAAATTCCTTGATGATAAGATTCGAGAAGACACCAAGGCCTCCAATTACGAGATTGGCGACCAGAATGAGCATGACGCAGCACCAGACAAATGGGTCTTTGAGTGTTTCGACAATCTGGTACTTCTTGTACTCTCTGTTCTGGATACCGGTTTCGTTTTGACGGACACGCTCAACCATCAGGCGCTTCTCCTCTTCGGTGAAGCATTTGGCAGACATTGGACTATCGGGTAGGATGTAGGCGATTCCAAAGGACCAGAGACAAGTCGCGAGACCGAGAACGAGGAACAAGAGCTGCCAGTTTTTGATGGGCCCGTCCGTGAAATGTGATACTCCGAATGCGAGTAGACCTCCGATCTACGTTTCTTCATTTAGAATATTGCGTAGTTATATGTATCATAGAACGTACATACCATCAACTGAAAACCAGACATGCAATACCAAAGCGAATTGAGTAGAGACTGTTCATCTCTTGTGTACCACATAGAAGTTCTAAATGTGGTCAGTTTTGTCGTCGATCATTGACACTTGGGTTCACAACTTACATCAGCATCATGGCAGGCTGGACGCAACTTTCGAAGAAACCGAGCAGGAACCTGACGGCCATGAGGGCTGCGAAATTAGTCGATACCGTCGAGCAGGCAACGACTACTCCCCAGATGAAGACGCTGACTGAAAGAGTTTTTGCCACGGGAAACTTTAGGAGAAGAAGATTCATGGGATATTCTCCGCACAAGATTCCAATGTAGAGGATGGTTCCTAGCCATTGATACTGTCGCAACCATCAACACAATTTCCATAGATTTTAGGCGAACTTTAGACTAACCTCCTGGCCGACAAGATTTGCATCCTTCTTTATGCCCATGATCGATGCAAAGTTCAGTGTTCCTTTGTCGAGGGACTGACAGAAGTAGGTCACCAATTGAACGACCAAGATGCGGCGGTTGATCTTCCAGAAGAGACGTTTGTTCGTCGCTGCATCGATCTCGACTGGAGGTCCGGTGGCATAGCGGGCAGTCTGCTCATCCACTCGTTCAGACTGGAAGGCTTCCTCTTTAGGGTCGATATCCCTGGTCTCTGCATGAGGTGCAACAGCCCCGGCTTCGATCGCTTTGGACGACATGATTTCTTCAATGGTGTCCGAAATCAGAAAGATTTATTAATGATGCGGTATACCGAGTTAAGGGGCAAAGAAACTGAGATCTCTGATATGCGATCTACCTCCAAAGGTTGTTATATGCACAACTAAAAGTATTAGACATTACCCCGTCCAAGCCGCTCATCCCCAGCTTGTGGACTTTGTGGGGAGAAGCAGTGCTACCGTGAGTTTGACCGGTCACCCGAGCGGCGCGAACACGCACTGATTTCTTGTTTGCGTGATGGGAGAAACATTGGTATCTGTCTTGACATTCTGGCAGATGGCATGACGGGCGGTGGACGGGCTATCTACCGGAGCGCAGGCCGGCGGGGGAATTAACCCAGGATACGAGTAGGTCGCCAAACCAACAACCAACAACCAACATTCTCGGCAGTATTGTTGCGACAAACCTTTCACTTCGCGATGATCCTTACCCCAATGAAACGGATATCGTGTAGTGGCCATGGTTTCTCCAACTTGAAGCAATCAAAATCCGGGGCAAATTATGGGGTTACCTAGGAGTGATAATAGGGCAAAAACGCAAGTATAAACCGGGCTACATCTGGTAGTTAGACCAAATGCCTGGCTACACTGCTGCATTGGAGCCTATCAAGCGTCGACCTTTTACTGCAAATATATTGAATTGTTTCCTGTGTATGCATCAATTACCTGGAGCCTTGACAGAATGAAAACTCTCAATCTCGTGGCGCTGTTCCTCAGTGTCTTGGCCCCAACACCTACCTATGCAACGCCAGTCGGGTCCAGTCTCGAGCATCTTCCCCGAGCTCGACATGGCTTCCAACACCCGGGAGCTCTTCACACAGCGGCCGACATCCGCCGTGTCAAGCATCATGTAAAAGAGAAAGACGAGCCATGGTTTAAAGCCTTCCAGCACCTCCAGAGCAGGAATCTCGCGCAGACGACATGGAAAGCTACGCCCCAGACCATCCTTGTCCGCACGGCGACTCCCACCGCGAACCTGAGCAACAATTACCAATACGCATACCGCGATGCACACTCGGCGTATCAGCAGACCTTGCTCTGGCTCATCACTGACAACGAGACTTATGCGGACGCGGCGGTCAAGACCTTAGACGCCTGGAGCTCGAAACTCGAGGACATCGACGGCAACGAGGACAAGTAAATCTGTAATTTGCCTAACCTTACCGACTAATCTAACATGTCTCGACCAGATACCTCGCGGCAGGACTCTACGGTTACCAGTTCGCCAATGCCGCCGAACTCCTGCGCTCCTACCGTGGCTGGCCCGCCACAAGGCAGGAACAGTTTGCGACGATGTTGACGGACATCTTCGCCCGCTACAATCGCGCCTTCCTGGACCATCACAATGACAAGCCAGACTTCTATTACGCAAATTGGGATTTCGCGAACATCGTCTCTCTGATGGCGATCGGCATCTTCACCGACAACGCGACCATGTACGACTTCGCCGTGGATTACTTCCTCACCGGTCCCGACGACGGTGCCGTAGCGAACGGGGCGTTGCCATTCTTCTCCATCGCTAACTTCACCGAGGACGGCGGGAAGACGTTGATGCAAGGACAAGAGGCCGGGAGGGACCAGGGCCACGCGCTGTTGTGCATGGCACTGCTCGGAGTCATCGGACAGCAAGGACACAACCAGGGCAGAGATCTGTACGGTGCGTTTGGTCACCAAATCCTCAATGCGTAAGTCGAAGTTCCAAGTTTTTGGGAAGCAATTCCACCAAGACTCTTCTTTCTCTTCATTCTTTCCAGAGGTCGAGGCTAACGATTCGTTTTCGTACGCGTACCGCACAGCGCCGAGTATGCAGGCAAATACAACACGAATCACTCCGTGCCGTACACGCCCTATGAAAGCTGGGAGGGAGTACTCCCTGTCGTATCCGCGAAGGCGCGAGGCGATGTTCGCCCCGGGTTCGAGGCCTTGTTTGCGCACTACAGCGATGTGAAGGGTCTGAACGCGAGTTGGACGAAGGCCTACCGCGATTACGTTGTGGCGAACCTCACTGCCAAGGTGGAAGGCGGTGGCGGTGATTATGGGCCGAATTCGGGAGGCTTTGATGCCCTGGGCCATGGAACATTGATGTACAGGATCACTGGAAGTTGAGTCTAGCAGCAGTAGCAGCAGTAGTAGCGATGTTTTGCAGGCTGGTGGAATGCCTTGCGTGTATCGCGATGTTCACGTTAATGGATCACACACTGTTGGTTAGATAGCCTGACCAAGAAATGGCCATTCACCGTTTGTGTAGCTCGATGAGAAATTTAATGATCTTACAAAGACATCACTGCGCTGGTGTCTGGATAGTCTGGTTGAATTAGGAACAGAAAACACTTTTATCATTAAGTATGTAAGCTAATCTGATGGTATCCTGCAGCCCACTCTACGACTCTTCGCCGTGTGTAAAAAATGCCCTTCGAATTTGCTTCGAGAAACCGGGATAAAGACAGTGAGACTGATAGATAAAGTATGAAATCCTATCTCTGATGGCGTTATAGCTATGATGGTCGTGGTAAGTAATAAGATCGTGACATCGGGCATGAGGGGAGATTGTCCTAGGGAATGTAAGGGCCTGAAACGGCGGTAAGAACGATAGCCATGCCGTGAAAAGGAAACTCGACCGTTGATATCGCCGATACCGCGCTTGTACTGGTAAGTATAATGGTGACGCTGTGAAGGCTGATGGTAAGTATGGAATCGTAAAAAAAATGGGTCATATCGGAGGGCACGAACAGAGAAAATGTTGATGTCGGGACTTACGCAGAGTTGAAGCAAGTCAAAGAGATGGGAACCACAGAATGTGGCAGGTGCGACGAGATCATTCCTGGTAGTCTTCATCATCACCGCTTGCGTCGTTCACCCCTCGCAATGCTTCTTCGGAAGTCTTCCTCATCTTGCTCTCGAGGTCATCCTTGAGAGCCTTGATACCGGCTTCCAGTTGCCTCTTCCTGAGCGCATTGCTACGGTTTTTCCATTGCTTGGTCTTCATCCTCTCTCTCGGATTGTTTACAAGCCGATGGAGGGGCACGCCGCCCTGGATGGCGTCATTGACTGCGGCCTTGCTGTGCGCCAAACACTCGCAGATAGCAATAAGACGGTCCAAGATGTTATTCATGCATCTGAATCGAAGCTGACCGCGAGCCTCACTGTGGTACATCAAAGGGCGGCACCAACCCTTCTCGTGAACGGTGATTGCGGTATCGAATACGTGGTGCGCTGCGGCTTCGAGATCCGCTGGACTGATGCTCATTGTCTTGATACGTCTGAGGTAGCACGAGGTCGGGCCGTCAGTGGCCTTGTCGGTGGAGATCATTGCGGTATAGATATCCGCAACCCAATTATCTCGAAAGTACATCTTGACCCAGAAGGTCAGCCAATCCTTTTTGGGTGGCAGTCGAGACGACTTGCGGTGCGCGCGGGCTTCGGCGGATGTTTTGAATTTCCCACTGTAAGGAGGGTACCGGCCTTAAACGATACCCGCAGTGGGTCTTCCTTGAAGAGTGAAGCCACCCACTATTGGGCTATGCTCAATAGGCTTGCTGCGGATAGGGATGCCTCCTAGAGAAACTTTTCCTCTAGTCTGATGGTCGACCGACACAGGCGAAGGCTGAGGGCAGTTTCCCACCAGAATTGAACCATCGGAGAGGCTCATAGCGTTGGTTGGTTTTGGAGGGGCAGGTGCCAGTCTACGCAACGACGACTGCATCGATGAAAGGAACATTGGTGCGGCCGAAAGATCGCTGATATGATCACCAGCGGATTGGTTTAGAAGATGAGGCTGAGTTGAGGGATAGATTGAGTTTTCTGGTGCACTCGAAGCGAACTGGTATGAGTTTGGAAGCACAAGGTCGTTTTGGAATGAAAAACGTAAGGGCTGTTCGTCTCCAGATGACGAAGCGGCTACAAGATCATTATATGGTTGAGGAGGGCCTCCTCCTGTATTTTGAAGGGGTAAGCTGGTGTTGATTGCAAGATGTGAGCTGTCGTCGAGGCATGAAGCGGGCAGTCTGCATGAAGAATCGGGGTGGTCTGAGTACCCGAAAGTGGCGGGACCGCCGAGTTGCTGGGAGGTTGGCATTGTTTCACTGCAGTCCCCATTGTAATCGTACAAATCATTCCCAGCTTCATGGTTGAAAGCAAACAGATGGTCGAAAAATCCTTGCGTGAAAGCCGCAGGGCCTTCCTTGAAGAGGGGCGTATGGAGATCGCCACTCTGTCGTGCGATTTCACACTCGCCAAAGCCTGAACGCACCCCAGCCTCTGTCGTTTGGGGAGTTGAGGTTGGTGGTTGGAGTTGTACTAGCAAATCTGATGTAGAGATATGCCACCACGAGTCTGGGTAAAGAAAGTAAAAGACAGTGGAATTTGTATAGGGAAAAAGGAAAAGATAAGAGGCACCTCTCAAGTCGGATGGTGATATACCTTGAGATCTGGGTTGAGCTACGCCTTCCCCACCCCCACCTCACCTCCCTCGCCCCGATTGTCACAACATCATGATCAAAAGAATAGGACAATAGACGATTGTTGATTTTAGGTCGCCTTGGAGAGGTCATAAGGCAGAGACTCTATTGCAACGAGACCAGTGATGCTTTCCTATTGTCGTGCCCACTTGGGTCAGGTGGATCGCGAATAGCAGGCCAGGACAATCGCAAGTGAAGTTCAAGCTGCACCAGGCGCAACAAGGAAGAGTTTGATAGTATCTGCAAGGGAGTGGGAAGTCGAAAAGGATGTCTGCCTGTGTGAGGGGTGTATATCCTCAATCATGACCTTGTTTCCGTACCAGATTCAATCAATATGGGTCGAGCAGATACCAAGTTGAATACAAGAGAACCAATCGAAGGATGAGGATTGTACGACCTCACTCCACCAGACAGATTACCGCATACGGAGGGCAGTCGGCTCAACAGTATAGCACACAGTGGAGGGGAAATGGCGGTGTGAAGAGCAAGTGTATTATCAGAGCCTGTAGGTGTTGCGGTCTCTTCCTTCAATCTGACTCTATACGGAGTACATATCTCTGAAATCGCTGATGTACGAGTGATCCACAACTGACAACCGGTACCCACCTACCGCGGTAACGAAAGACTACCTACCTAGGTAGTTAACATACACCCCCTTACAGTTCTTCATATCCATTGATCCACCTCATCTCTCTTTCCAGAATCCGACGCATTGTCACCGTCCTCGCTGGTAGAGCGATCGGTCTTTCTATTTGCCAATCGTTTGGCAACTTCATTCGCATCAAGCAAACTGACCAGCCTCCTCTTGCTTGGACTACCTATCGTTGCCTCTTTGCAGATACTCCATATGCGCTCCCTATCATCTTTATCCCTACGGCTGGTTTGTTTGTTCTGATTGCGGAAATGCTCCAGAGGCTGCTCCGTCAGTATGGTTGGCGAAAACGGCGTGATCACTTCAGGCGTTCCATCAACACATCGAGCAATGTATGCGTCCTCGGCTACCTCGTAAGGTGTTCTTCCAACAGAATTCTCGCGGAAGAGAAGATCAGGGCGGTATTCCAGCATGGTCTTGAGTAGGACTTCCTCTCGGCGGTTCACAGCCCAATGGAGGGGAGTCTCACCGGATCCGTCCAATAACTCGAGATGTTCATTATTGGTTGGCAAAGCAAAGTCCAGAATCTTCCTCAAGATATCGTCACGCTTATTCCAACCGTGAGATAACCACCACGCCAGAGGCGTCTGTGACGAGCCTTTAGCAGAGCGCTCCGTGAGAAGAGAGGCCACAAGGCGTTTGTCGATGAGATCTAAGAACTTCTGAAGGTTCTCTGGCGCCTCATCACCGTGGAAGCTGTTACCGAGCAGTAGGTGCAGAATGTTGTCCCCGTCACGATCCCGAGTCGTTTGATCCGCACCTGCGTCGATCAGGATTTTTGCCGCCTCGTAATGCATTTCTGAGAAAGCGACCGAAAGAGGACTCGAGAGATATCAGCATGCGAACCTTGATATTACGAAGCGACAGGACTTACGTGTAACCACTGCGAGACTTCAGTTCTAGCAACTCAGGCAGGGTCTTAATCAAATGTTTGATAAGCTTCGAAACCTCCGCACTCTCGGGAGCAATGACCGCACAATGCAGTTGGAGATCATCTTGCCAAATTAGCTTTCAGACCAATGAATAACAACTTAAGACTTACTGCGAGCATCCAACCACTTATGAAGCACCTTCTCAAACCCTCCAGCAGTTGTATTGAGATGCTTGATGAGCTTGTGATCCTTATACGTCTCGGCGAACTCCATATACAGTCTTGCAGGCGTGGCACTGGAAAACCATTCTACGCTAGCCAGGCTTCCTTGGTGAGCTGCTTGCAGAAGAGGAGCACTGGTGTCCGAAACTGGTCTTTCAGAGATACCACGAGCAGCACTGACCCAATCTTCTCGCTTTGATCCATGAACCTACGCAGATAGAACAAATTAATAAGTCTAGTTGCAAACATGTTCAATCCTAGGGGACTTACACTAAGACCTTGATAAAACTTTGGCCTTTCTTTGAATTCAACACCACTCTTCTTCACAAGCGATGCAAGCTCCATACCAGCGCCAGTTTGCTTTATCATTTCAGCAAGCATGTCGGTTCTGCCATATTGGATCGCCCGGATAAAGTCAGACTCAGAAAAGGCTGGAATCGTGGAGGCATCCTCTTCTTTATCGTCTAAACGCTTCGTCCATTCTTTGAGGGTGTCCATCAGAAAATTGTACAGTTGAAAGTCATTGGTGATTAGGGCCCAGTCGATCAACTGCTCTGAGCCCGAGCCATCGATGATTTCGTTCTCGGTTCCATACACGAATTTCCTCGCTGGAGTGCAGGACTTGGCGTAATCCCATGCGGGGAATGACCAATTCAGATACTCGAGTGGGCTTGTTTTCGATTTCACCTGCGTTGAAACCTCTCCGATGTCTTCCACGGTGAACTTTTCATCAATGATCTCACGATCCACTGGCACGTCACTCATATCTTCATCTGAATCTTCCTCGTCACTATCGACTTCATCAGCACGTCGTCCCATGCGGTACACGGCCTTTTCTTCTTCTGTCTCTGGATCATACTGAACAAAGCAGATTTCCAGAATGGCTTTGGCAACGTCTAAGTGACCTTGGAGAATAGCAAGGCTAAATGGCGAGAAGTCGTCACGGTCGGTTATAGCCATCTTCAGAGGTTTCCTGTCGCCATTAGGGCCCCAAGGCGTCAAAGTGAGGGATTTAATCTTTTCAAGATTTCCTTCCCAAGCTGCCTGGAACAATTCTTCGTAACCTTGCGTGTCCTCGTCGTCGTGATCGTGGCCTTTGAAGTATATCGATATGTCCCAAGGGAATGTGCGGCGCTCATAATCAAAGGAGCTATTGTCGTCCTTGTCTTCCTTCTTTTTGACCTTGTCGGGATAAAGCTCATCGAATGTCTTCGCACCTGCTTCCAGTAGATGCTTCTCAACTTTTTCAAAGTCTGACGTGAGTCGCTCAATTGCCTCCTTCTTTTCAGTGACGCCTTCGCGATCTCTGTAGACCGCTAGGCGTTTCTCATAGCTTTCCTTCGAGATTCTGTCTTCTTCTTGCGCAGCCTCCAGCTGAATTTTGCCAATAAATCCCCTGTAGGTTCCTGGCTCGAAAAACTCTAGGTAGTTGTGGCCTTCCTTAACGTTGTATGTTGGCTCCTTAGGAGGCTCGTCGTCCTTCCATGCCTGTGTCATACATGATTAGTGTTGACCAAGAAAGCAATCAAATCATACACCTGGAATGGCGGGTGTGATGGCAAAACTATACCTTTAGATCTTGAATTTTCTTCCGCACAACGTCAAGAAGTGTCTGTGGAATATTGTATCGAGCGTACCAATCATCTCTAAGGATCTCCTGGGTCTCTTTCGTGATAGTGTTTGGATCGATGCCGCGGAATAGAAGTTGAAGAACAATGTCGGGCAGTTCTGACTCGACTGCACTGAACACCGGCTGCTGGACCTGTTTTTCAAACTTTTCGCGGTTATCCTTGGTGTCATTATTCTTAATGCCCTCGAACTTTCTCTCCACAGACTTGAGCCAAGTCTTGAACTCTATGCCGGGTTGAGCTCCAGCTTCTAGCAATTTTAGTGCTGCCAACGCATTCCCCTGTTTGATGGCACTCATCAAAGGGCTCTCTGTGTTTGGAGACCATTCTGATCCATGTACAGCAAGATGGTTCAATGCTCGCTTTGCTGCCGGCTCATCAATGCTGAAGATCGTTTCGATAAGGTCCGGCTGAATGGTGGCGATGTAGTGGAAAGCTGTCGTTTGATTCATATCGGCTTGCGCTGATGATGCTCCGATCTCAAGCAGTGTTTTGGCCATCTCTTTAGCTTGCTCCAAGGGTAGATCAAGCACAAGAACAAGAGTCAATATTGCAGCGCGAGGGGACTTGTCATAGCTGTGGTAGAGTTTGATCGGTAGAAGCACATCAGCACCGAAGTTTTGGACTAGCTCTTTCACCGCAGCGCTATGGCCACCCAAAATGGCAAGATGTAATGGTGATGCCTTCCAATCCCAGGACAACACATTGACGTCATATACGTCTGGCTCATCCTCATCGTCGTCAAGGACCATGTTTTCGTTCTTCTTCTCGTCGCTGCCCTTTTCCTTTTCCTTCAGGTCGACGAACGAGCCGGTTGTAGCAGAACGCATCTCAACATCAGAGTCGTCTCCTTCGTCGTCTTCAACCATTTCAATGTCTTCGCCGTCGGAGTCATTCTTCCGCTGGCCATTCACGTCCTCTTTCGACTCCCTTTTCTCCTCACGAGCAGCAATGCGCGCTTGCTTCCGTACTTCTTCTTTCTTTGATTCTTCCTCTTCGTTCTCCTCGCTCTTGCGCATGATCATGCTGATCATTTCGGCATTGCCACGTGCAGCTGCGAGATGTAGAGCCGTACGTCCATCAGCAAGACGGGCCACCAGTCGAGCACCAGCATCGATGAGAGCCTTCACAATGGCAGGGCTCGAAGAGTTGACGGCAAGATGAAGTGGGGTCCTTCCAGTGTAGTCCCGAGTGTTGGGATCTGCGCCTTCCTGAGCGAGCCAGTCCTGAACATGCTCCAGATCCTGATCAATAATGGCCTGGCAAAGGCGAGCGGTATTGCCAACATATGCCTAAAGGCTATGTTAGCATACACTGTATAGGTGAGAATCGAACAGGCTCATTATTACCATCTCGGTCCAATCATCATCGGTGATTGGGTGGAAAGATCCGATTGCCTGCCTGCCTGGGTCGTCTTTGATGAAAGAGATCTTTCCAGACACGTATATCTTAGCCTCTTCTTCGGCAACATCATGCTCCTCTGGTGTGGTTGGTTCAGGACAAAATCCACAGCAGTCGTGAATCACGCTATATCATTGTCAGCACTACTTGTCACATCCCAACGGAACTTGCTTACTCTTCTGCGAAGCCAAAGAAAGCGGGGTGTCTATGCAGATTAACCTCGCGGTCGCCTTTCTTATTCCATTCTGCATTCAGCAACAAGTCTTTGGTGTAGAGAAGCTTTTCAATTTTCTTGGCGTGGTATTTTGGGCCATATGGGATGGTAAAGGTATCTGACGAGTTAGCATGTGTCCATTCTTCTTGGAACTTCTCCACATACGATAATCGCTAACGTCTTCTTGATCAACCCATTCGGCAACCTCATCTTCGTAGCGGTCTTTGATGTTGTCGCCCGTAGAGCGGTCCCAGCCCCGATTGATCGCAGGTCTTCCACGCTCCTCGCGTCTCTCGTCCATGTAGGACTCGCGTTCAGACTTGCTGGGCAGTCGTTCGAGGACCAGCAGTCTGGCTAATCCCACAGTCCTTCCGAAGTTCCTCTCAAAGATTGTAGGATCAACTCTCGAACGCTCCAGCAAAGGCCAGTAGACTTCGAAGCCACGATGAGAATACTTGGAGAGCCGGTTCTCATAAGAAGGCGATCGGCGCGTAAGATCAATAGTATTGACCTGGGACATGTACGCGGTTAACGCACGAGGCGCGGCATACACTTGCTTTCCATCGTATGCCGCACAGGAGCAATCGACATCGAAACCAGTCAAGATTTCGGCGACAGACTTGTATATTCTCAAAACAATCTGGATGTGTCTGGTAGGATATTGGCTTGCAATCGTGATGGCGTTCTTAGTGCGGATTGTGGTGGTCTCTACAAGGATGCTGTCTTTGATACGCTGCTCAATCTCAATGATCTTGTTGGTGGCAGCCTCTTCGCTGAGACCATAGATGAACAGATCGATATCCGATGCCGGGGCGATGGTTTCATGGTAGTACTGGCGCAATGCCCTCTTTGACGCCTTATATTTCTCAGGAACAGGGAGCATGCAGGTCACTACTGACGAGCCGGCCGCCACAACATTGCTCCAGTCCATGTCCACGAGTGAGGATTCGCAAAACAGGGAGAAGTTCTGCTGGAATTCCTTGAGATTCTGCACGATTGCGTTGGAGCCGTTGGGGAGCCTTGCTGATTGTTTGAGGGCCATGACATATCGCTCCTTCTCTTCATCAGATTCTGAATCGAGGTTCCGGGCCCTCACTTTGACGTGCTCCTCTTTGCCATTGAACACGGGCACGATGTTGAGGTAGGGGTCATCCAATGCGGGGTGTGTCGGTTCTTGGGCGAATACTTCTCGCAACTTGGCATCATACTGTTTGTAAGGCTCGAGTAGCTCGGCCAAGGATGTATCGGGGTTAGAGGCAACGTGAGTAATGAAATCGGCGTGCTTAACAGGCACGTTCGGGAGCGAGGATGGCGTCGACATGGCGATTTGAGAGGCAATTGAAGAAGCAGAGAGAGAAACGGATTGAGAGAGATCGGGGCGAGAATGGTTGAGACGAAATGATTTTGAATTAGGAAAGGACGACGTGCAGTGGAGAGTGAAAGAGGTAGTACTAGCTAAAAGGTGGCTGCTCCAAACAGACGATTTGGCGCGGCTGAAGGACCTAGAGATGGACGTGAGGCACAGCATGCACGAGAGAGAAAGACAAGAGGGAAGTCGAGAGTCGGAAGTCGAAAGATGGGAATACTTTATAGCTGCAAAATGAGACGGGGAAAGACCTAAGACATGGCCAGCCCAGCTCTCGCGTGCATGAGGATCTATCTATCAGTGCTGAGTGCTGAGTGGACCAAAGTCGATGCTGCCTGGGACGCTTGGGGGAGTTCCTGCCTGTGCCTGGCTCGTCGTTCCACAAGGCTGGGATCATAAGGCAGCATAGATGCGCTAATCCATTTTCGGCCCACCAAAGTTGATCCATCATCCCCCACTGCGGCACCGCCCACCGCCTTTACTCTCAGGGGGGAGGGGGTGCTGTTAGTCTTGACTGCCATGACTACCTACCTAGGTACCTATCCAATGGCCGGTCCCAATGAAATGAGATGTGAATGTACTGTGTAGACGTAGCTCATCGGTGATCAGAAGAAATGTGCAATGGATTCAAGGCGAATGATCTGACGTTACTGTAACGTACAGAGAGTAGATGTTCTAGCTAGGGCAGAGCACGAGGGAGTAGGCAATTGGCAACAGGGACCGAAACAGATACCATAGTGTCTTCTAATGATGATGGCGCCCTACTCTCAAGATCACGATGCGGAGTGTCCCAGTGTCCGTCCTGCTGCCAATCATCACCTATCCATGGATGATATTCCACATGGAACAGCGCTCAACTACGTACACACACGTACGCATACACATACACACACACACCCTCCTCTAGAGCTATGACTGTCTGTCTCAAGAGGATGCACAACCCAACCGCAACAATCATCTCAAGACCCCCAGTGTTCCTGAAAGGTTACTCATACACCCAAATGCAAGGTTTCGTCATGCAGCCATATCAAGCCTTCAATCTATCCGTACCCTATATACCGAAATATATGAAGAACCCGCAACCATGCCACGAATATGCCCAGCAACACAATTCAACGCCGAGCTCTCAAGTCATTCATGATAAGTCCCATCCTGAGCGTGTGACATGAGGATATACAATGTGATGCCGATGAAATATTACAATAAGGATAACGCCGCCGCTGAAACGCTAAGTATAATGATGCAAGGAAATAAAGAAAAATATGTCGAGAAATGTCCATGGATTCCCAGCTGCGCAGTGGCGGAGATAATTTGCGAATCACACATGGCGAAGGAGAAATAGGAATGGCTAAGAGGGAAGATACTCGACTAAACCCTCCTTGCCCCGAAAAGAGTCATACTGATGGCAGTCTCGTTTCCTGCCGGATTTCCACCGCTCTCAGGCAACATCTCCCACCTCTTCAAGGCGAATGGCACCTGCTTCATCTCCTTCTTTTCAAATCTAGTCGAGGTTGGCCGACTGAAAGAAGGAACTGGTTGTGGCGCAGAGGCTGGCTGTCTCTGCAACTGGACCGGAGAAGGTTGCATGCTCCGCTGCTGTGCAAGTGCCTGCATTTGTTGCATTTGCTGCATCTGTTGCAGTTGCGAATGTTGTCCACCTTGCATACTAGCCATGCGTTGGAATTGAGAGAGCATCTTGTTCTGTTGCGCTTGTTGGGGGTATTGTGGATTCGTGCGAGTCTGGTTTTGCGAGGGTGCCTGCATCGGCTGTTGCTGTTGCTGATGTGGCTGCTGCTGCTGTTTTGGCTGTTGTTGTTGTTGCTGCGGCTGCTGCTGCTGTTGCTGCTGTTGCTGCTGGCTGAGTGATCGTTGCATGACACCCGCGCCTGAGCTCGGAGTCGATGGGTTCGACTGTTGCTGCTGCGCTACCTGCTTTGGTTGGGTTTGCATCGAGGAGTTCGCTTGAGGAATTGACGCAACAGGCCTGGCAGCCGCGAGCCATGCGTCAGGATGTGGCATGGTTCCAAAAACGAAAGTGCATCGGGGGTCGTTAGTGGACTTCATCGTATCTAGTTTGATGAGATGGTTACGGACGTCGTCCGTGACGTAGTCAGAGAGTAGAGCAGTGACGTCAAAGATTTGATCAGTGATAGATGGAACTGTCATCAGCAGAGGATTGGTGAAGAGTAGTCGTAGACTCCATAACAGTGCCGCTTGGTGTTGATGGGGCGCTTGTGTCAACCGAATCGGTCCGTGAACGATTGCAAGACGCAAGAGAGCATTGAGCCTACAGAATTAGTACTACGCACAGCAGCGGAGGCAAATATCACTGACCATATGCCGTAAAGCGGGATTCGAGAGGCGACGGCTCCATTCTCAGGGACAGGCTTTGTTTCGGTACCCTTTGTTTCGATGCCCTTGTTCAAAGCTTCCCCAATGCCTCTGAACCGTTCAACTAGGTTCGCAAAGATAGGCACTTCTGTTTCACGTTTGGTCTCCGGGACTGTGTAGTCAATTACCTTGAGGTACTTCCTGATGAAGGCCTCGTCGCTAGCATGAGCCCTATCGGGAGGAGATGCTGCCGAGTTGATCAGAAAGGCAGAGGCGCTTAGAAGTTCGCGTTCTGCATGCTCACGGATCTAACAAACATTAGTCACGGGTCTCATATGGATTACGAAGTTCACGGTACCTTATTCATAAGATCTGAATCAAGGCCACTGACGAGATCACACCAGATCGTCTCATCCCTGTCAACCGCCGTCTTCACGGCTTCAAGCAGTGCTGTCGATGGTGTGTCGGCCGAAGGGTCGGCCGATGGTACATTCATGGAGACGAATTGCTTGATCGCAAGTTGGGAGAAAGGGAGAGAGAGGAAAGTAGTCGTGTCTACAATAGTAGATATTTGGTCGCGCATGCTCTTCGTTGAAAGTTCTGCGAATAGTGAGAGGCTTGTTCCAGGGGCAGGATCGCCATATCCACACATACCTAATTGTTTGGAGGGGTCGACGAGTGCATCTAGCATCGCCTTTAAAGTAGAAGCCAACGGGACCGTGGAAGCCTTCGTTCCAATACCCAGCGTAGTACAGAGCATTGTTGAGCTCTTTAATACATAATGTCTCAAGACTGCAAGGAGTCGGTTGCTCGTCAAAACATTCATAATCTCATGCCCTGGTGCAAGCGAGGCAACCTCTAGCATCTCCGCGACGAACTCCAGAATGCGTCCGTTGGGGTCTCGAATGAATTTACGTTGCTCGAGCCGGAATTTGTAACCGTCTAGCGGCGGACAGGACGGGTTCAGTGTATCTGTGGGCAGTAGCATCTCACAAACATCTACGCACGCCTGTGAAGTTGCGTGCATATCTTGCATTTTCAATCTGGCAAGGCATTTTCGCGATATTTCTAGGAACTGAGCAAGACTCAGGCAGCCAGCGGCAACCAGGACTGGGATAGCGGCATGGAGCACTCTAGTTTGTCGACCGAGGACCAGAGACTTCACCCACTCGGCCAATATTCGGCGGAAAGTGCCGTCGTCGAAAGCGCGTAGTCGCTGAAACCAGACGAAGTAATTGCTGGAAGGGGGGGAGGCTTTCTTGGCTTGCTCCTCTAGGCTCATGACCATTTTGCCAAAAAGCCGGGCCATTGTTTGCTGATCCATGCTTGTGCCACTGGCAAGAATTCGGTCTATCTCTTCATTGGTGTCCCAGCCCGTGCTGTGAAGTGCTTCAGTCATAGTATCAGACACCGGAGAGCAAGCTGCCATTGAGTTCTTTTGTTCAAGCCGATTCATATCATATGCCAACATTTGCTTGAGTTGGGCGTCCGCCCCAGCAGCGCGGGCAAGGTCCGTTAAGCTGGTGAGCAGTTCTTTCTCGGGGAATCGTATGGTTCGGATCGCTGCATATCTCATTGCAATCTTGAGGAACAACGGCTCGAATGCACCTATTGCACTGAAGGCTTCTTGGTTGTAGTGGAGCGTGTCGGCAGCGGAAGCAAGGATGACGCCGTCTAGTGTGGTGGAGACAATTCCAACGATGTCTGCGAGCATAGCCAAGTCACCAACACTCTCAAGGCACATTCTGACAATGAGGAATTCGTGCGATGTGATGTAGGACACCGAGCCCACCTCCTCGACGTGGGGGTCCTTGGTGGGGATTCTGCATACGATTAGAAAGAGAATTGAGAGCTTATATATTCAAAACATACCGATGACAGATCTCCATGTTCGCTGAGACTCGGTGGCGTAGAAGGGTAGCGATCTCGAGCCTGACTGTCGCGCTGAATCCACTTAGATCCAGCTCGCGCGTGGGAGTGTCTACCATGATTTGGCGATATAGGTTAGGCAAATGCTGTCTGATAATCTCTTCCGCATCGTCCAGACTCTGCTCTTCGGCTTCTGTCGCATGAGGCGTGCCGCGTAACAGCGTATTCCGTAAATTGCGCACCTGTTCCGTAAGGCCAGTCAAGGGAATTTCAGTTGTGAGTCGAAGGGGCCATGCCATGGGCTGAGGAAATTCAGTGATGACTCCCTCTACGTCATGAATAAGGCTTACCGATGATGAAGCGTGGTTTTGGTTGAGTGCGCCCGTTGCAATGAGCCATTGGAGGTATTTCCCAACGGAGAATGACTTCGATCGAACCAATTCGGCTATGATTTTGAACACGTTGTGCAGCTCGCAACCAACGTGTGGAGCGGCGGACTGGAAAAATGCCAGGATGGTCTCGTCAATATCAACTCCAAGATGGCCCCATTTCCGTATCAAACGAGTCGCTAGATAAACACGGTGCAATCCATCTCGGTAGAGGGACGAGGCCCACTGGAGACACAGAGATATGAGACAACGTGCATCAGTTATAATCTCCATGCAGTCGCCAGCAAGCTGGTCGATGGGTATTTTCGATGTATAATCGACAGCATCCAGAAGAGCCACCATTTGCCGATTCGAATTATGGGTCGTGGAGCTGCTTAGCTGGGGTGACGAAGAAAGACGAGAAGTTCTGAAGTCGAGCTGCTCTATGACGCGATTCATTTGAGGGTGGGGGTGCCGCTGTGCAAGCTTACGAAGAATGGTTGCATGGCGGGACCATGTCTTCGGCACCATTAATGACGAGGGGCTGGTAGCGAGGAGCCTGGTGATAATCTTCTCGAGGAGCCGAAGGACGGGTGCTGTGGGACCGTCCTCTTCCAGCTGATAGAGTTTCTCGGCGTAGGCGAGTAGCGAAACTGCTAATCGTTTACCTCGCCGACGTGGACCGGTCAAATCTGGCCAGTATGTTGTGGCGAGTAGAAGCCATAGAAACAATCGTTCCGGAGGGCACGTCTCGAGATTTTTCAAGATCCAATCGATGTAATGCTCGTTTTCAAGAAGGTGGTCCTTGTACAGTTGAGTCGTCAATTCCATAGCATATTTAATCCTCGGTTTCCAGTCGGCCTGCCCTATCGCAGCGATCGTGCCGTCAAGGAATTGTTCCACGGAACTAGTCCAGCCTCTCACCCAAGTCATCGTACCAGCCTGTCCCTTCCGCTTGTGAGAACGCATCTCATTTATGCCAACGCATTTGATGAGCCAGGCAGCACGTGACACAGGTACACGCTTGTTGAGACATTGCTCGAGTAAGACCTTGCCGGTGATACCGTGAGGGATGGTCCGGCTCAGTCTTCGGAGTTGTATGGCTGGGTTTGCGAGATCATGTAGCCACGACTCTCTCGTCGAATCCCGGAGGGTTAGTCGCGGTGGCGGCTTGAAAGTGTTTGGTGTCGTAAGGCGGCCACAGGCTTGTCGTTTTTCGAGGACGGCAACGAATAGTTGCGAGAGGGTTGGAATTCCCGATTTGCTTTTCAGATTGGTCCATAATGACGGCCTGGCGGTATTTGTCTCGTTCATGATCTGGGGCTTGTTGCTGATCCCGGATTTGACCAATCCATCGTTCAGGATATCTTCAGGATTGTTGCCCGTCCAGGGGAAAAGATCGACTGTTTCTATGGCAGAAAGGTTAGCAGCAATTTGTGGGGAGGTGTCATGCAACGTACTTCCTTCCGGAAACACGACGGCGGAAGCGGGCACGTCGTTAACCGGAGCCTTGGTTGCGGCCTCGTCTTTCACGCCTGAACCTCCGGGTATGATGCGGCGCTGGGTTGCGTTATCGGCGGGCCTTCCAGGCCTAGGCGGTACCGGCAAATTGGTGATGGGGAGCGCGTAAGGCGAATTCGCGGCGACATCAGGGGAGGGATTTGGGACATTGCTGAAGAAGATCTGAGGCCGGCCCTTGGGTAAGGGTCTGGGATTGTGCGAGGCCGTATGAATGCCTTCGAGCGTGGGAGCTTTTGCCTTTGCATTGCCCACCACCGGCTGACTTCTAGTCGCCGATTCATCCGCGGGCCGACGTTGATCGTCAAGAGACGATTCGGCGGCCTCCTGGTTGGATGCACTCTGTGTATTGACAGGCTTTGTAGGCTGTCGCCGGGCCTGGGGCCATGGGGGCGCACCACTCCCACGATGCTGTAGAGATTCCGGAATCCCTTGTGAAGGACGAGAAGTCATCGCACAGAGAGCGGATTCATGGTCGGAAGGAGAATCAAAAGCGAGAGGTGGGTGGGTGTATGTATGGGTGTCGGGTAAGAGAGTGTGGGCTCGAATGCTCGTGGTTGGGCGCTCGCTTTTGGTTGCGAAGAGAATCTGGGAGGTGATATCCGGTCGCGTGGGAGTGGGTATGGTCGCAGGATTGGATCAATATGGTGATGGTTGTAGTGATGCCGACGATGAACGGGTGGTGGTGATAAGGCGAGGCGAGCGGGTGGTTAGGTGGAATTGCAGCGGCAGTGTCAGCGGTAGTCGAGAATGAGGTGGGTGGAAGAGGATGGTCGAGGTCGAGGGCGAGGTCGAGGGCGAATGTAGGGGAAGGAGGAGGAGAGTGAGGTTAAGGTTAAGGTTGCGGATATAAGGATTTAGGAGGAGGATAAGGACGCGGAGACGAGACTCGACTCGAGATCGGGAGTACTCGAAGGTGAGGTGAGGTGAGGTGTTGAGTGGATCAGTGGATTACAATAGGGTGGATTGGGTGGATTGGGTGGATTGGGTGGATTTTGAGTTATCTTACGAATGAATAATGATGTGAAATGGGAGAAATCGGCAGGGAAAAGGATCAACTAGGTTAGGTACCTAGGTAGGTATGAGTAGGTATACCTACTACTAACCTAAGTACAGTGAAGTGCCTCACTAGCTACGAGTACGGAGTACCTAGGCAGGGATAGGGAAGTGGAATGAATGGGTGGAAAAAGGGACGGGCACGATCAGCGGAAGTGGGACTGGCTGCTCTACAAGTACTTCAAGTCCTCGGTCCTGTCTGTGTACGAGAGACTTGAAGTAATTACTGACAGCATCTAGCCGCAGGACAGTCGTCGTGACGACGTAATAGCTGTTCTACAACAGCATATCCGTACACAATTGATATACTGGAGATCCACAACGACACACACCGTAGTAGTCAACAGCGGATAGATACAGGAGAACGGCGACGATGCTACATAGTAACTACGGAGTGGTAGGTAACGGGTAGAGGCATAGCGAAGGGCAAACGCAAATGCAAACGCAAAAGACATGGGATGGGCCCGATGGGAAGGGAAGAAAGGGAAGGGAAGACGGGGGCAAGGGACATGGGTAATGGGCGTTACGGCTATGGGTTAATGGGATGGGATGGTTCAATAATAGTTAATGGGTTAAAAGTAATGGTATGCATGGGGGGCATGGGGGAAAAGAATTAGCCAGTAGTTAGGGAATATGTGACTACAGTCTGTACGGAGTCCAGCGAGGCAAGATAGCCATGGCATGGCATGAGAAGAAAGGATCAAGTCATCAAGATGGGACTGGATGGAATGGGATGCCGGCGAGGATAGGGTGGGATGGGCCGAGATACTCCGGACGTTGTAGTAAATTAGATGCCCAGGAAGAGACAGAGAGAAGCAATAATGATGATGAATATGAACAATAATGCTCCGGAGTTGATGCGCCATGGAGACTACAGTGCGCACCATACACCATTCACCATTCACCATACACCATATTCCATATTCCATATTCCATACGCCATACGCACCCAGCAGAAGCAATACGTTCAGCCCAGCAAGCCATCCAACCATCCAGCCATCCAACCATCCATCCAACCAATTCTCCGTATATACAATAATGCAATCTACGAGGTACATACTCGACATCCTCCGACTGTCCTTGATAGCATTCTTGCCATTCATACACCACACATACACATTATCATCATTATCATCAACTCCAACGCACAACAACTGTAGTCAATCAATGTGCACTCCGTACTCCATACAGAGTAAGTGATGCGACGAATCCAACTCCCTTACACAACCTTGGGGAACACCCGTCGGTAGCTTGCCCGTGCAGACGGGGCTCACAGACAGGATACGTAGATAGGTACATACATACTACACAGTCACGACTCACAAGAGTACCCAAGAGGAAATCTCGCAAAATGATTTCCATGATCCCATAATTGTCACCATAACTGAAACCTAGTCTACATACTCGTAGTACTCGTACCTCGTAGTTGCCGTCACCTACCGGCATTTTCACGCCATCGGGTCCGTAGCTTCGTAGGCTCGTAGTCTCGCTGTTGGTACCGACCGTCGTACATGACCTCGTCGCCAGCCCTTTTTGCCTTATATTTTTCTTTACTAATACTTTCCGTTGGTAAACCCTAAACTAACCCTGATAGTCGTGCGCCTACGGAAATACCTACGTCGTATGTAAGTTCCCGCCTTCTCCTCCCAGAGTCGCAATGATAATAATGATACCTCGTAACAACAAGTACGCACCTACGAGGCTTACCCCCCGCGGATGTCGGGTGTCAAAGTCGGTTTGCGCGCGCTCAACGTTTGCACATACATACATACGTACATACTGCACTGCCTGGTTGGTGCAACCAGACATTGATATGCCGTTGACACATACCCACCCAGCTGCAAACACGCGCCAGCGTCCGTTTGCCTACCTAGACAGATTACCCATTCTCGTGTCATGGTCTGTTTGAAGTTTGAACTTTGCCAATGCGACGACCCTGTCCTGTGTCTGCCCACTGCACGCTGTCATCATCTGCCTACGAGGTCGCTATGGAACGCTGGACATGCTTGCTATCATTATTGTTGATTCTGCGAACCATGACACACTAGTGGACGGACTGCCACTCACGAGTCGAGAGTAGTCGAGACGAGGACGAGGGCGAGGGCGAGGGCCTCCCTTGATTACCTGCAAGGCTGTAACTACCGTAGACGGACGGATACCTACCGAGTACTGGCCTATCTATCAGTACAACACATCACACACACTGATTTCATCGCAATCCTCCAGCCGGCAAGCCAGCCGACGATCCAGCCGACGATCCAGCCACTTAGTACAACAGAAAGAAAGGAATCTCAACCTCAACCAAGAACGGCAATAGTCCGGTAATCGTTGCGGTGCGGCCACGAACACCACCAGTAGCACGAGCAGCAACACCAGTCAGATCGGATTCGGGTCGTCTCGCCCATCAAGTCCAGAAGGAGAGATTGAATTGACATGAGCAGACTGTGATTGGTGGTGATGGATGAAGGGTGATGGAGGATGGGATGGTGGTGGTGGTGGTGGTGGTGGTGGTGGTGGTGGTGGCGACGGCGGCAACGGAGGCGGCCTAGCCTGTGCAGAAGTGTGCAAAGTACGCGGAGAGTGCAGTGTGTGCTGTTGCGATGCGATGCGATGCGATGCGATGCGAGCCCTGGTCCGTAACTTGGGAGTCGTGTAATGAGTCGTGAGCGCGGCAACGGAAACGGAAACAGAATTAGAATTGGAATTGCAAATGCAAACGCAAACGCAGCCTGTTACCTACCCAGGCAGATCAATAATGGTTGATGCATAACTACTCCTTACTCCTTGCACTGCACAGGAAGACATGCCTACTCGCATTCATACACAGTACAGACGGGTATGCTGTGCCATCACCCTCTCCGTAGGTACCTACATATTCGGTAATTGTGCGCGCAACCCCAAAGCGTCCTGCACTGCACTTGTACGCTCTAGGTCGAGCCACTTCTCGGAACTCTCATTATTAAATTAATCAGGGAGTATCCGGAATCGGGAACCCGCCTTCTGGACCCCGTTGCACTTGACTTGTATTGTATGTATTGTATTATTTCTTCCATCTTCCAAAGCTCGCTTCCTCGACTCTGGAGGTGCAAGTGGAAGGTCTAGACTATGAGTGAGATATGTACTCCGTACTGTGTAGGGGGGAGGGAAAGGGAAGAAGCAAAGGGAAAAAAAGAAGAAAACCAAACGAAAGGCGTGCCAGATTACCCAAAGAGTCCAAGTGTCTGAATGCAGTGCAGTGCATCTTCATCGTCTCTTTTCTTTGCCATGGGGTTTATCGCGTTATTTCGGCAAAGACAGGTTGGCAGGGAGGCAGATAGAAACAGTGCAGCAGTCTGCAGGACTGAGTGACACCACTGGCGGTCCTCTCCGTGGGTTGAATCCGTGGCCGTATGTACACAGTACACAGTAGATGGTAGATACCGTGATACCGGAACTAAGGGGGGGCCAGTGAAAACGAACCCAACAAAGTGAATGCCCTCCACCTCCACCTCCACTTCCACTCCCAGTCTCCCACAGTCCACTGTGCCACTACAACCAACCATCACCCATCACCACCACTACTCCCGTACTACTACGAGTACCAACCGCCGTCTCTCTCTCACAGTCTCACCCCATCCCATCTCATCCCATCATCCACCATACCTCTGCAACCCCACATTCCCCATCTCCAGCTCTGCATCACTCCCCAACATCATGGCCTCAAAGAAGGATCTCCGACGTTTCGACCTCAGTATGTTTGCTATCCCCCTATCCTGTCCTCTCCTGTCCTATCCTGTCCTGTCCTGTCCTATCATCCTACACTACCCATACACCCGACAACTCGAACCACTGTTGCCGCCGCACCCCTTCCCGTGTTCACCTTTGGCTCCTGGCCCAGAGAATAGCCACCTCAGGCTCTCCCCATCCGACTCTCGTCATCATCACCAAATGTCACGTGCCTTCTAACATCTACCCAGTCGTCCCTTACCAGGAGCCCGCAAAAGACAAAAATGATACCGACATGTCCAGTAAGCCCATCTGATATCGTCCTTGTCGCCTCCATCCCTCCTATCCCTCTAACCATATGCTCGTCCAGGTACCATGGCCAGCACGCTCCCAATGGCCGCCGTAAGTTCTCCCTATACCCATCCCCATCCTGTAGGTTGCACTGCTGATATGGTGTCTCAGATCTTCACCCGGAACAAGTAGGTCTTCGTCACATGTGGCCCTCTGTGTTTGCTGTTTCTAACGCTTCGTCCCTCCTTTCTCCAGGATGATCGGCTGGTATGCTTGACCCTTCTTGTCGCCGCTCATGTCTGATTCCACCATCACTAACCTTACCTCCCTCAGGGTTGCTGTGGTCTTCTCCATCCAGTCGTGGCTCGCCGAAACGGCAGAGCAGAAGCAGTCATCCACCACCCCTGCGTTCTTCTCCGTTGGAATGGCCCGTAAGTGCACCTGTCTCCACTGTTCAACATACCTCGCTAACGGTCATGCAGTCATGTCTCTCGTCGTTGTAAGTCCCCCATCACGGCCACTGTCATCTTCCCATTTGATGCAGAGCACTGACTTTGTGTCACTGAAAGGGCTACATGCCACTTCTACTTCCACCCCAGCAAGGTCGCGTTCTAGGGGGCTCTGGTACGGAAGCTCCCGCGGCTGCACCCCCTTCGTAAGTCTGCTGTCAGGATGGTTTCCTTTTGGGGTTCAGGATGCATCAGTCTTGGCAAAAGCATTTTGTGTCCGTGTAAGATCTTCGCCATGAGATGCAGTGTACTAGTATAATAATATTAAGACAAACAACCTAAACGACCCGTGGTTTTGGGCACAATCATGCACACCTCCTCATGTACGCCGTAGTAGCAGGCAAACATGCATGCCACGCCTTACCTGTCTCTCATTCTCATGGTCGACGTAACGTTGGTAGAGCCTTGGTGACTCAATCTGTTTGTTGGAATGTGACACATCCATCACCCATTCAAAGCGGAAACGGGATCGGCATCCGGAGCAAACGCTTCGAGCGCTTGTGATATTGTCTCCTGACGACATACGCTACACACAGTGACGATTGGGAGTCGAACAAGGCGAGATATCGTTATCACCGGTGCCGGTGGCTTGGATGCCTTTTCCAAAGTTGATGCTGCTAAGTTGTTGTATGTACGACCATGCCGTGAATCGCGACAGATGCCTAAGGCACCAGCGGGACTTTACTACTCGGACTGCGATCCGGTGCATGTAGGTGCATGTACAATGTATCGAGACTTTGGAGTCACCAGTTACATGGGCAGATTAGGTAGCTTCACCCAGACGTTCCGCAGGAAGCTCAACAAAGAGGAAAGCATGATTTCATCTGCATTGCACCATCATTCTCGCTTTGGTCGGGATTGTAACTCGTACGTTTGCTGTTCTGATATTCAGGCATCTTACTCCGTACTACCCTTGTTTTCTCTCCTCTACCCGGAGCAAGGAGCATGACTTGTCCGACTCTGTGACAGATGTCTGGATGTCTGGTCTGGTGGCTCGTCTCGACCGCACAAGCGAGAGCCAAAAGCCAAAAGCCAAAGTCGGCGCGCTCAGACACACCAGTGACACCGAAAGAGGAAGGGCCCAGAAAACCCAGTCACCCTATTCGCTCCTGTCCTTCAATTCACAGCCGCAGGAGACGACGCCGCCGCCGCCTCCGCCGCTTTCCCCCGCCTTCCCTTCCCTCTCTTGCCCACTTTCCCAACTACAACAACACAGAGTACTTGCTCCGTACAACGAACTCTCTTCATCCCTCTTACACTCACACTCACACTCGCACACACTACACCTCCACCACTCACTTCGCAAAACACACTCACATCGCGCTCTGCTCTTTTCATAAGCAGTCGCACGAAACGTTGCATCAATCCTACCACTCGACCCCGAGAAACCCCCCAGAAAGCAGCGGTTTATGAGCATCGAGAATCTTAAGACCTTCGGTATGTTGATAACAGAATCTCACAGACTCCCAACTTACATCTCCCCTTCTCCCTCTCTTCTCCAATCATTGTGACGATCGAGAAATGCTGACGAAGACTTTTTCCGGTGTGCAACAGACCCCTTCGCCGAGGCCGATGAGGATACTGGCGAGAAAACCAAGCAAACACAGAACTATATCCATATACGCATCCAACGTACGTCGCTCCCCTTTCTTTCCGGGCGTGCGATTCCCTCTTCAGTGTCTCCCCTTCCGTCGCCCATACTCCACAAACCTATCGTCGCCGGCTGTGCACTCCGCAAGGAGCCTATCTCACCGCTTGTTGCAACATCGTACTAATATCGGGCAACAGAGCGTAATGGCCGCAAGACCTTAACCACAGTCCAAGGACTGCCGAAGAAGTTCGACCAGAAGAAGATCCTCAAGGTCATCAAGAAGCAATTCGCCTGCAATGGCACCATCGTAACCGACACCGAGATGGGCGAAGTCATCCAGTTGCAAGGCGACCAGCGCAAGGATGTGCAGGAGTTCCTGACCAACAAGAAGGAAGGCCTGGGTCTCGATAACAAGGACATCAAAGTCCACGGTTTCTAGACAGCTTCGCGCGACGAGCGCGACCGCCCCGCTGCAGTGAGCCACAAGCCAATCTCATCTATCGGCTTGGGTCAACCCCCTCCTGAAGCGGAAAGCGGCTGCTCCGAAGCTGGAAACCGGCAGGCACGCAGCAACAATGACAATCACTAGGATCGAAGGAGACGGGTATTTTCAGTTAGTTTGACAGAAGATAGGGTCACTTTCTTTTCCTGGGTTTAATGCCAAGCTGCAGTGTGTATTTTTCTATAGGACGAGCAGTCGGTCATCATTTTCTATCAGAACGATAATGGCTTATTGCATTCGAATTTGTGCCACCATGTGTTTCTCTTTGCTACTCATGTCTGAATAACTTCCTTGGCTATTAGCCTCTATGAATTGAAAGAATGACGAAAGCTAAGCATCGTGGTGTCAATAATTTATACAATATTAGGAGGGCCTACACTCCTATAGTCCTACAGGTGAATAACTTGCTCGACTATTAGCCTCTGTGATTCAAAAGAATGAAGAAAGTTGAGCATCGTGTTGTCAATGATTTATACAATGTTGGGAGGGCCTACACTCCCATAGTCCTACAGGTTACACGCCCAAATTCCGATTCTACACATCCCACGTTTCGAGGGCTTTCTTCCTGGATCTATATCATTCCCGGGTTCGCTGCTTGATATGCTTCAGTGTCGTCCTGATACTTCCTATCCTTCTCAATCTTCTCCAACGTTGTCGGAGAAGCAAAACCCCAGACTTTCCAGCCCTCCATCTTTCCCCTCAACATGCGTTGCTGCAGGACAACGTACTCGATGACGTCCTTCTCGTGAACGTCGACGAGCGGCTCGGCCTTCTTCTCCTGGATCTTGTGTCCGTCGGGCGACCACTTCGGGCTCCTCCCCTTCGCTGACTTCGGCTGGCTCGAGGCGGCGGAGTCCCGTCGTGTGATGGTGAGGCGTTGTCTGGTCTTGAGTCGGTACACCACCTGTCGGAGTGCGGTCGGTGCGGTCTTGTCGTCTTCCTCGCCCGGGATGGGCAACTTGGTCGCTTTGTGGGAGACCACCCTGGGGCGCTTGTCCGCGGACACGAGCTCCCAGGTCATCTTCATGTCCTCGGGTCGGGCGGCGATGCGCTGGGTCAATTGTTCGTAGATCCCGGAGATGCAGACGTTCTTGAGGGCGGCCTCATCGTTCCTGTGCGCGCGGGGAAACATTCAGCATTAGCAAATAAGAAGCGACAAAGGGACGTTGGCGGGTTGAGCTACGCACTTTGCGAAGGCCTTGTACATCCTCTGATGCAGACTGACAGCCGCGGCCCGGGCAATCTTTGACTTGAAACGCGGCCTCTCCCTCCAGCGCCAGTTTGTCAATCCGAAGAAATAATATAAACGACTGCTCCCCACGTTAGTATTCGGGCTTCCTTCATTTCTGAGTGTTCCAATCAATCAAACTCCTTGGGACGAAGGAGGATAGCCGATCTCTTTCCAGTCCTTTTTTCAATGACGTACCCTACTCTGTCCTGAAACCTTGTCTTCAAATACTTCCACTCGTATCCAGCTCGTGTCCTGAGCGCTTGCCGCCAGGCAGCGGGCGATGAAAACTTCGAGGGTGCTAGGCTTGGAGGCGTGCCTCGAATGAAGGTTCCTGTTTACCAGTCAGTCCCGATGTAACCCTTTCCTGTCATTTGACAGAATCCCGAAAAGAAGGAATGGCATTTTCCATGTGTTGGGAGCAGCTGCTTCGTGGTTCTACCACCACTTCCCAGGAATTGCCAATTCTTCATTCAGTGAACAGGGCCGGCTTCGAGGATGAGTTCGTACCGGCAAACAGTCCCAGATCGTCCATCATGGAGTCCTGGCCCCGCATGGCCTCTGCCTGGAACACCTGCGGCGCCTTGTCCTGCCGATTCCGTGCGTGCGATTTAAGCCCTGCGGCATCTGGAACTTGTCTTTGGCGTGCGATTGCGGAGGAAAATGGGCGGGCGGCGGGGAATCGAAGGATGGGTTGGTGGCGGGCTGGCCGCAGTGACCGAATCGGGAGGTGTGTGGACATCTTTATGGGATGTTTGTGGTGGGCGAGGGCGTGGGCGAGGCGTGAACCGACTAAGCTATAGATTTCGCAGATGGGGAGAGGTTCGCGGGAGAGATTTCCCAAAGTTCTGCTGCGGGATTGCGGGGTCACGTGAGGGGAACATCACCCACTCTCCAGATTCAATTGAACACAACAGATATCGTTTTCTCTGGGCGGTTACTTGTCAGGTGGACAACCCTTCGGCTTACTGTTCTATTTCAATTAGATCAACTACACGTTTAGCTACGAGATACGACGTTTAGTCTCATAATCTCCGTGGCTCTAAGCACGTCTATGTAGACATTGAGAGCGAAAGTTTCTACAATGGGTCCAAACTTATTCAAAGATGTCGTTATCGTTTGTATTGTTCTACTTTACAGACCAGGTCCTCGGAACGTTATGTGATGACTGGAAGACTATCGTGTATCGTACATGAGCTGGATCTCCCAAGCATTTACTTTTGTGTGCCTAATATTACAAGTAGTGGAAAGAAGTTGAGTGGGTATTGTTTTGAAGGTGGAAGGTGGTAACCGCAGATGAACCCTCCGCCAGACGCCATGGAGATGCTGAAACTGAAAAGAGAGGAAGAAAGACGCCAGTTGAAATGATGTTCGCACCCCTTTTTCCATATTACATGTTGCTGCTGGTACCAAGCAGCTTGAGCACTCCTTCGTAGGTACCAAACATGATAGCGGCACTAGGCACCACACGCAGCATGTGGGGAACCAGTCCGCCATACAACGCTGCCATTCCCTCCTCTTTCCAGATGAGTTTGAAGCATTGGGCTAATCCTGTGTATTTCAGGTGGCCGTTTTCGAGGGGCGCTTGCCGGAGACGGGTTCGGACGACCTGGTAGAGCCTGATCAGCATACAGTCGAAAGAGCCCAAGGGAACAAAAGATACCTACCTCGTGTGGGTATGTGAGCAAGGCTGCAACGAACTTTGCTGCTCCCGCTGCAGAGAGCTTGCCAGTCCAGGAAACAGTTTGATCCCAGACCGTTGGTGCGCGCCCGCTTGCTGCAACTCTTTCCTCTCTTCTTGCAAGTGAAAGCTTCATTTGCTCGTACAGCATCCATTGAAGTGTGCTCTCGGTCACGCCCAGATAACTCGCGGTCAATCCTCGATACAGACCAGAGATTCCTTCTTTCCGTATCGTCTGCATGGTACAGTCGAACGCATTCTTGTACTGCCGTCCCTTTCCATCCGCATGTGTGGCCTTGTCTAATTGCAATCGAGTCTTCACCAGCCAGATGGGATTCGTCGCCGTTCCAGTAACTATACCAGCGCATGCGGCAGCACCGAGATGCACCCAAGCCGCTTCTTGTCCATTGTTGCCATATGTGCTAATGATCCTCTTCCCATTGCCATAGACGTAGAAGTTTATTGCCCTCGCAGGGACCACTCCAATCAGGTTAGGACCGAGTCCCTTGAAGAGCGCTCTCCATCCCTCCACCTTTGGGACTTGAAATAGTATTTCTCCGGTCTCTCGGATGTGGAGCAACGAGCTGCGGGCGAGGGACATAGTCTCGATTGGAGGCAATCCACGCGCAGAACGCTGCGCAACGAGATGGTGTTGATAGTAGGTTGATTGGAGGCGAGTCTTGAGAACGTCAAGTGGTGCAGTCAGTGTTGCAGATGCCATGCCACCCAGGCTATTGTCATATCAGTTACCGGCGGCGAATGCCCATGCGACAATCGCCATTACTCACCCGCCTGCAATGAAATGCGCCCATGATTTCGCAAAAGGTGTGGCGCTTGCACTGATTGTGGATCCATCTTGTTGCTTGGGAGGAATTACATCGCCGGTTTCTCGCGATTGTGTCAGGGTCTGTTTGAATTGGGCACTGCTGGCTCGAAGTGATCGAGGAGCTTCGGCGTGTTCGACTGTCATTGAGGATTCGGGAAGGACCGGAAAAGATTGAAGGAAAATGGAAGTCCCGATTGAGAGGACAGGAATTAATAGGTACTAATAGGTACTCTAGAATGCAGTACAGTCGAACAGCTGGTATATAGGAAAAGGTAAAAGAGTTCAGGTGATGGCGACAGTAAATGAAGGCTAGGCTTCCTGCATGGAAATTCGAGAAAAAGTTCCACTCCAAAGCGGACTAGCGGGGTTTGCCGCCGCCGCCGCCGCCGCAAACCTCCGCGTTTCGTCATGCAAAGTACCGAATCCATGAACGAGCTCCAATTGACCAGCTTCCTTCTTTTGGACTGTGCTCCTACATGAACACAAAACAACAATGCAGCCAACTGCACGGTGTCTTGCCCCCGGGTTTATAAGGCGGAGCTTGGACGAGTTCAAGCGCCTGTCTAATGTCGGTATGTCGTAACATTGCTTCGTCTTGCTCGCATCACTAAAGCTCTCCAGCACTCAAATTTGAGGCAATATCCACCCCGAAAAAGGCCTATCCGCTCATATTATTCGATGACGAAGATTCCCTCACAAGATGCAAACGTATGAGCGATAAGGATATTGGCGGTTTCTCCACGGCCAACTTTGACTTCGTCCCGGCTTCGGAGAAGGAGCCACCACACGCCCGATTCTCCGGCAACATATCGATTGAGCTTCCAAAGAACCAACCGCACGTCCAGAGAACAGGCTATGCCGGGTGGAGGACACATGATCAAGGATACACGATCTTTGGCAAGTCCGTATGGAACGTCGACCCATATAACTACCTTGCCATCCATTTCAAGTCGGATGGTCGCAAATATTTTGTCAATGTACAGACCGAGTCGATCGTTCATACAGACATCCACCAGCATCGCTTACACTCGAAGACTCCGGGCGAATGGGAGACTATTCTGATCAAGTGGAACGAGTTCGTTCGAACGAACCACGGGCAAGTTGTCGAGCCGCAGCGGGAAATGTTGACACAGAAAGTCCGGACGGTCGGCGCGGCACTCATTGATAGGATCCAGGGGCCTTACGATCTGAGTATCAGTAAGGTGTGGGCAACGAATGCAGGCCCGGATGACGAGATTCTGCGCAATGTGACTGGGGCGGTCAGCGGGTTGCCTATGACTACGTCAAGGCAGGGAGGATTCAGCAAACCCACATTATCAAGTAGAAAACCACAAAGCTCGGCGTAATCAAAAGTTGCCTTCAACCCCAAGGAGATGGCCCTTTTTCTTCGTACTTGACATAGGGACATGCTTTGAAACGCCATGTACATAATTTGTTTGAAGCCAGATATTCTAGTAATCAATGAGGTACATACCATGAACTATTACACGCATCCATTTGCTAAATCAATCAATTTTTCCCACATACTCTCTCTACGAGTACTCCGTACTGCTCTGCCTCTCACAATTCGTAACCATCCTTTTCGCACATTAGTTAGGTATCCAAAGCAAACCCGCCATTATCCCAAGATCTGATCTTAGGAAAATAAAACACTTTAACATAGAATTAGAACAAAATTTTATAAATTATTAACATAGATTATTATAATGTATAAAGTATATTATAAATTAGCGTATTATCAGGGGTTAAAAAATACTAAAATCTGACTCAAATTTTAGCTGAGGTTTTGTCTAATGCTATATCTCAGTCTACCACAACGTGTGTTGTAAGAGAGTAAGTAAGAGATAGAGTATTGTAAGAGAGAGAGAGAGAGAGAGAGAGAGAGAGGGTGTCTCAAGAGAGTAAGTAAGAGAGAGAGTGTTGTGAGAGATTGTGTGTGTGCTGTGAGAGAGTGTTGTGAGAGAGGGGAGAGAGTTGTAAGAGAGGGGAGAGAGTTGTAAGAGAGGGGAGAGAGTTGTAAGAGAGGGGAGAGAGTTGTAAGAGAGGGAGTGTTGTGAGAGCGACTGTTGTGAGAGAGGGTAGAGTGTTGTGAGAGAGTTGTAAGAGTGTTGTGAGAGAGGGGAGAGTGTTGTGAGAGAGGTTAGAGAGTTGTGAGAGTTGCAAGAGAGTTGTCGGCCACTGAGGAAAAGTGGTGGCCACAGCCAGCATTGCCCTCTATCCTCTAAATAGCCCAGCACTATCCCGTCTAGAAAGTGCCTATAATCCATAACCCATAATCCATACCCGTCCATCCATCCATCCGTTCATTCTTCCACCGACGCGACACACATGCCCGTCGATGCACAAACCTGCTGATTCGGCATTCCTTACCTACCTATATATCTTGCAAAACACTTAGGATTAGGGTTAGTTTTAGGATTTAGGGGAGGGTTAGGAGGGTTAGGAAGCTTAGGAGTAGGGCAGAGTCTATTAAAATTGTATAAAAAAGGACTTTTCAAGAAGTGTTTTTGTATAATTGTTCTTATTGTTGGCCACTGAGGAAAAAATTGGTGGCCACCCATCAATTACCGTTTGTCCACCTGACAAGTAACCGCCTAGAGAAAACGGTAATTATGTATCTGTTGAATCTGGAGGGTGGGCCCTCTCTCCTCTCTCCTCTCTCCTTACTTGCTCACTCACTGTCACTCTACCGGTACCCTACTCGTACGTGCCCTACCTCCGGTACGCCTACGCCAACTACGTACAAGGGGGGTGCCTGAGCAGGTTAGACACCTCTGTGCGTCTTTGACATACCTAGAAATCGACAGAATTTCTATGTAGGTATGTGTATGAGAGAATGCACTGGCCTGTTCAACCCGCACAAGCACCACCCCCCTTGTATCGACCTACTTGCTCACTGTCACTCTACCCTACCCTACCCTACCCTACGTACGCCAACTACGTATTGTACAAGGGGTCGACGGTGCGGGTTGCTCACGTCTGAGCGTCTGGTAAATTTATATGAGAGAATGCACAGACCACCCATTGTATAATTCCCTATATCAATTCTAAACAATTGACCACTTTTCGACCGAACAATCATGTATGAATATTTGTAGATTTCTTAGAAAGTCTGGCGCATTGACTCACTTACATAGACCTCGCCCTTTCCTGCGAGTCCTGGAGTGAAGGAGCTGCTCACATGACAACGCGCTTGTTCGGCGCGACCTCTTCGCCTCCGGGAACAACCTCATAACTCATAACTCTTTTAAGAACCAACGAACAGTGCGCAGCCACGAGCATCACCTTTCAATCCCGGCTGTGTAATCGCAACTAAAACGAGCACGAGATCTTTCTGGCTACGTCGACCAAATTCCCTCGCGCTCCCCCAGGTTTCACGCAGATCCACGCCCCACCATGTCTGTTTCGCGCTACTTGACAGCGCAAAAGGTCAGCCTACTTGTCTTGGTCAAATTATACTGCGACGCTGTCCTGCCTTCTTCTGCCACGATACCCGTCTTGTCATTCATTCTCTCGCAAAATGTTCCCAGGCCATCCTCATTCGCGCGGGGACGGAACAGTCGCCAAGACCACGATGCTTCATTTTCGATTGATGCATTTGAAGAGGTCCTCCAAGGACATGCTTCCAATATGCCGGGCCGAACGCTTTTAGACATATTTCTCAAGCAGATGTGGGAGGTCAATTCATTCCATGCTTTGCACGAACTCTTCGAGAGCAGTGGCCACTTGTTAGCCAGAGGTCCTGGAGACCCAGATCGCATAGAACCAGAATATCAAGACCAAGTGCTGTTAGCACAGGCATCTCCATTAGGGCTTTTTGTCCGAAGGATGCAGGTAGAATTCCACCGACTGCCATTTGACGATGCAATGAGAGTTTGGTCATCGTTCATTGTCTACCGAGCACCCACAGCACAGTGGAACAAGAGGATCGCAGGTCTGGCGGGTACGTCTGGAATCGATCGAAATGCAGCGGAGCTAGGTATCGGGCCTGGCGATAAGTTGTTCGACTTGGCCTATGGCGACCTTGCTGATGAGGTTGTGTCGAGTGACGCACTAAGTGTAGAGGACTTTAGCCGGTTACTTGAATTTCAATGCGACAAATTACAAAGTCAGTACACGCTGTATCATCATTTTTGGAATGTATCTGACCTTTTAGGCCTTGGTTGTCGGGTGTCAGATGAGATGCGAGTGAAGTTGCGGTCCATGTTTGGCCCTTCTGGGGTCGCTTTGCGTCAAACACATCTAGTGGAGTTCTTTGATGCGTGGAAGGCAGGAGAGTACACCTCGGCCTTTGATAGATTACATCAATATTTCGATTATGCTGTGCAAACACAGCAGCGGACTCACTATCAGTACGCTCTTCTGCATATGGCGGTTCTGCAGGCAGAATTTAGTTGTTTCAGCGAGGCCGTTGCTGCTATCAATGAAGCAATTACAACTGCGCGGGAGAACCAAGACATGCACTGCTTGAACTTCAGCTTGAGCTGGTTAAATCATATGAGTAAAGCATACCCTAAACAATTGAAGGCGTCTGGGTACATGGGCACGCTGGGATCCGAACGGGACGGATTGACGTATCTCAAGGCAAGGGCGAAAGAATCAGAGATGTACCCTTTGCTGAGCTCTACATTGCTGAATGAGGCATCTTTATTCCTCGGGACGGTTGGTTCCCGCACTATCTAAGCTTCGCTGACAATCGCTTACACTTGAATGCAGGGAGATTCGGTCGTTCGTGCGTTTGAGTACATGTACCAAGCTTCACATCTGAACATAAGGGAGCACATAAACAACCATGGCAGTCACGCACTTCTGCAGTCTACAATATACGCCCGCTTAGGCGTTACGCACCTGTCACACATGCACTGCGACCTCCTTCTAGATTGCTACCAGGATGGGTGCCCCTTTGATGATGTTATGCGAGCTATTAGTCGCCGTGCATTTACTGTAAGCGAAATGCGTTATACGTTGATTGAAATATAACTAAGAAGGCAGGCTATGAATTATGGTCGTTTTGATGATGCACTGAATCACATGGACACGATCGACCCGTCCTTTCATCGAACGCTCAAGTTCCATCGCTTCATCTTCCTTGGTACAGGCCTTATCAAGTTTAAGAGGGCTATTCGACGGTAAGAAAAAAAGTCTGATTCTCATATTGCAGAGTGCTGATCGATTAGCACCGACTGGGATGCCTGCGAATCGTTCATTCCCTTGCTCCAGCCAGATACATCGACCGACCCTGAACTCGCATATGTGCTGGCCGAAGCTCAAATTGATTACCTCATCTCACGTGGGTATTACGATCAAGCTTTCGCCATGATTGAAGATACAGTGACCTCTTTAAGAGAAGAGGGCGCTGATATCATCATGCGTGTCAACATGTTGATCGCGAAGGCCACGCTATTCGCGAAGGTGGGAAGCCCACAACGAGGTTTCAGTATCGCATTAAGAGCGGCCAACGTGGCCTTCAAGGCTAGGCTGATGCCAGCTTTGTGGAAAGCCGTGGGGTTGCTATGTAATGTTCTGAATTCGATTGGCGAGTATCAAGCAGCAATGAGGCTGCTCCATGCCGTAATACCACAGGTTGGTACACCCACGTTCGGGGATGGGCCCAGTCTCTTAACTAACAATTGCCTCCAGTCCTTAGAAAACTCAGATTCGATGCTGATCGGAACCCTCTATTCGAATATAGCGGATTCATACATGGGCCTTGCTGGTCTGGATGACCCGTCTAGCGCCAATGGTAGTCGCTCCTACGCGGCGAACATCAGCCGCGCCGATCTCTACCTAGACCGAGCCCGCGATTGTGAGTAAGAATGCTACCGGAAGGAAGTTGGCTAATATTGGGTAGACTTCAAGAAGGTTGAAGACATCGAGTATGAATGCGAACAGTTGATGAAGAAGGCTTTCATTGCAAAGTTGCGTGGGGACGAAAAGGTTGCTGATGAATGGGCTCATAATCACAACCGAGTGTGGGAGGAGGGCAAAGCAAAACTTCTTATCGGAGAAGCTCTTGACTAGAACAATGTTCCATAGACACTTTTGTTCGGAGGAAATGTGTTCAACAATCCACGGCTATCCAAGATTGTCGGAGCTTGGTAGTGATCTCGACAAAAGAAATAAGATTGCTAGTCTTGATCACCTGCAGCGAGCGTGCGCCCTGTCTATTTACAATGCCAATTCCACAGGACTGGTTCCTCCATGTTTGATGGTTGTTCTTGTTATACAGAGGGATATTGTAGAAGTGCATGAAGCGATTTACTCGTCCTTCTTGTGGTAGTTGACCTTATCGTTCCAGAAAAGGGTCTATAAACTCGGTCAGCGATGGCTTCTTCTGGCGTTTGGCATGCTGTACCTTGTCACCGTCGCCAAACCAGAAGTTCTTGGTGCGGATGTTCTGGTATGGGTATTCAACCTTGTCCTCGAGCTTGGGTCCGTGGGCAACGTGCTCCCAGTGGGCGTCCCATCGAATCTTGGCATTGACGGAAGCGACAATGAGAGCAGGAACGGCGACGCTGAAGTATTGTTAGTATGTATTGTGAACCCGGAAGCGCTTTCTTAGATGGCGTGATACGGCTGGTAGAGTCCTTTGGAGGGCCACAAAACATCTGTTTCATGCACCGGAAGGTTTGGTGATAGAACGGCAGGCAATCAAAGTGCCCAAACGAGCGCAATTGAATGCTTGATAGCATTGGGGAATGTTGTGGAAGCCTTACTAAAGAGTGAGCTTGCGCCAGAATTCTGCAAGGATCCAAGTTAGCAAGTCATTCGAAATAGCATCTAACCCCGGCTGAAGATGAGGGGATTCCAGCTATGACTGACCTCCGCTCTCACCAGCGTGCTCTGCAATCTTAGCACGCTCACGGTTGAACTCGTTGTCCTCTGCACCAGCGAATTGCTTCGGGCTCTCGGAGCTGTAGTTGCGGCGGCGGAGGGCGCTGCGGGCGACGCCGAATCGCTGGGAGGAGCGGAACATCATACGCTGGGCGAACATTGTTGCGTCTGTCGGTCGTGGTGGAGTGGAGAGTTGCCAATTGGGGGCGTGGAGCTGGTGGGATGCTTTGAGATGTCGAAGGTTGAAGTTGAGCTTGATGCACGGAAGCGACATCAGGTGAGGCTTGGCGCGTTTGCTTCGTTTGTCCTAGCTGTCTGACAAACGTGACGTCGTGATTGATCGAACTAACAAGACGTCCCTAGCCGCGTTCCAGGTTCCAAAACTACTGGAGATTAACAAGACGCGTTTACTGAAGTGAAATAGATACGTTTCATTGCGCACAAGTGATGTCTCACGTCAGTGGCTCAGATTGGTGGCAGCAATGGTTCGCATCACGACTTGGAATGTCAACGGCATCCGTAACCCGTTCGGGTATCAACCATGGCGCGAGAACAGAACTTTCAATGCCATGTTCGATATATTAGAGGCCGACATCGTAATCATGCAAGAACTGAAGATTCAAAGGAAGGATCTTCGTGACGACATGGTGATGGTCCCCGGCTGGGACTGTTATTTCAGTCTACCGAAGCATAAGAAAGGTACAGATTCTTGTTCTACCACTATCTATCAGCGCTTAACACGCATAGGTTACTCGGGCGTTGGTATATACACACGTCAATCTGCCTGCGCGCCTATTCGAGCCGAAGAGGGTCTCCTAGGTGTTCTACATCCTCCTGGTTCATCTGTGGCATATCGTGAACTCCCGGAAAATGAGTGCATCGGCGGCTATCCTAGCCAGGACCAAATAGCAGACTGGGGAGTTGATCCGCTATATCTTGATTCTGAAGGGCGTTGCCTTGCTCTTGAATTCCCGGCCTTCGTTCTCTTTGGCGTCTACAGCCCAGCAAACAGCAACGGGCAAAGGGACAGCTTCCGCTATGGGTATCTCTGCGCCCTCGATGCCCGCATACGGAGCCTTGTCAAGATGGGCAAGAATGTCATCCTCACTGGCGATCTCAATGTCTCTAGAGAGGGCATCGACACAGCGAATTCCCTTGAGCAAATCAAATTGGAAGGTCTGGATGCGTATCTCAGTTCACCAAATAGGCGTCTCTTCAACCAACTTGTGTGCAATGGAAGAGTTATCGGCGAACGTGACACAGGAAGGGAGGAGCCGGTGTTGTGGGACATTTGCCGCGAGTTCCACTCCACTAGAGAAGGCATGTATACCCACTGGGAGCAGAAGATCAATGCGCGACCTGGAAATTTTGGTTCTCGAATTGACTATGTTCTGTGCAACAAGGAGATCAGCCATTGGTTTTGTGATTCCAATATTCAGGAAGGCTTGATGGGCTCAGATCACTGCCCTGTGTATGCTACGACGAAGGATGTCGTGGAATGGTGCGGCGAGCAAGTCCACATCACAGATATACTCAACCCCTCCGGTGTGTTTCAAGACGGCAAGCGATGCAAGGAATTCGACCCAAACAAAAACCTGCTGGCGATGTCAGGCAAGCTGCTTCCTGAATTCGATGGCCGTCAGAGTATCAAGGCGATGTTCGCCAGAAAACCCTCAGTCCCAACTGAAGGGCCGTTGGGAACAAACGCAGCCTCCAATGGGGTTCATCTTCTCGATTCATCGATACCCCAAAGTTCACAAGATGCGAAGACTGAAAGCGGCACCACTCAAACGTCCACTGACTTAACTCCGATGAGTCCTCGTAAGATATCGCAAAAACGTCCTCCTCCCGCATCGCCAGCCAAATCCACGAAGCGATCCAAACCATCGATGGGTGCCTCAAACGCAAAACCGCTCGCCAAAGGACAGCAATCTCTCAAAGGGTTTTTCGCACCCAGAACTAGCTCGACGAAACCCGAGCCCAGTTCCAATCATTCGAGTCAAATATCAGATTCACTCTCACTGGATAGGCAATCGCCTGGGCCAGATATAGCACCGATGCTTTCGCCTTCCTCTGTCTCCGCATCCGTCCTTGATCCGGAGCCATTCATTGACCCAGAAGCCTCAAAGGAGGGCTGGACAAAATTGTTCTCCAAGAAACCCCTACCGCGCTGTGAGGGGCACGGCGACGAGTGCATTAGCTATACTACGAAGAAGCCTGGCGCTAATTGTGGGCGGATGTTCTATCTTTGCCCTAGGTAAGATTTGGTAATTGCAGATTCTCTTTGTAAGCCACTGACGATTCCATTGACAGACCGGTCGGACCAACAGGGCAGAAAGAGCGCGGAACGCAATGGCGGTGCCCGACATTCATTTGGGCAAGTGATTGGAAGAGCGCAGGGTGAAGACGTCGATGCGGAAGGTCTTTGGACAAAGAAAGCTTGCTACCCGCTTGGCTAATAATGCTTTGCACAAGCCTGCCTGTACCTTCCGAGGCGCTCTCCGACGACTCTCTAGAGCACTCTTCCCTCAAATCAGCACCACCATTGCGAAGAGCAAGCACTACATGAGGGCATATCATCAGTGTTGGCTGGTTCGATCCTGGCAAAGGCACGCAATGCGGTATGTCCCGGACCCATTCGATCTGTACAGAAGGGTGTAAGGGTGAAATGCCCCCTTTGTGAGGAATCCCGTTATTGGAATGTTGGGACCTTTAAGTGGGAGGCGAGGAGGGATCCTCTGGACATGACATGTACGAGTAATAGTTATGACGGTTGCTGCAAATGCGCGTGACGAGGACAGGAATTACCTTAAAGAGATAGCGGTGGTGGCGTGTGGGGTCGACGCTTCCCGTTCCATACGCAGTGGACCCTCCTTATTGGTTACTAAGCACAAGAACCTCACCTAATCGACCTTAACAGTAATGGGAATTGGATTAAACCTGATGATTTCTTACTCTCAAGTTGCTAGAACAGGTTGTATGATTATTGCCAAAGTTTTGTTCTCGTTAGTTTCTGATTTGTATCTTGACGAGCCTGTCGACGTCACGCGAGGCGATTCGTTGACAAGTTCTCCTGATTCAGAACAGGGAAGCTATCATTTGATGTTCAGCGGTCCAATACTTGGAAGGGCACATTGTCTTGGCCTAGAACATAATTCTTTACGGCCTTGGAATATTTTCAACGCATTGCTTTCGTCTGTAATGGGCTTTGCTCTTGCCTTATCCTTGCGTTCAGTTTGGGTGGCGCCCACTACGGCGTTTGGCTTTGTCGTAGCCCGCTTCATCAAACAAAGATTTCTACCATGTCTTGATGCCCCTATATCGCTACGCCTCATCCGACACCCAGACATCTAGCTTCGTCCATATACAGCCTATGTCTTGCCGGTACTATTGGAAAAGGCTGGCCTCTGTCGAATTCTAGAGCTATGCGCGTTGACAGAGGCAATCCAGCAGAGATCCTTGCTCAAGTGGATGGCTTGGATAGAAAACTGAGCTTACACTGCACAAATACCATCTATGCACGCCGTCTTCTCTGACATCCATCGATACAAAGGCAGTTGGTCAAAGTTAGATATCTTGGCCACAGCTTGGTTTAGTGCCCTGGGTTGACACCGAGAGGAAGGATATTTCCACGCTCCTTTGTTAGGTCCACCTGCTAATCTAGACCTATTCTTAGATGCCCATAGTTATGTTAATATGATCACACATCAGCACAAAAGCCTGTTCCAACCCCCTGTCTGATTGTCAACTCTCATCGTATATCCTCCTATCTTTGAATTGTAACTGTACTTAAATTTGTTAACAAACTGTTCCACTGCAGACTCAACTTTGAATCGAAATCTTTACAGTGTAAGTACCTCAGTCGCTATTCCCACTGCAATTCGACTTGTCCCGAACTGATAATGCATCATAAAAGAGGGAACCTCCTTAGAAGGTTGACTGCTCCCACCATACGACTTCGGCCGATACCACTCTCCTTAGAGTGGATTAACCTTGAATTTCCCATCGTTTTATCTGGCCGTGAAGCGGCTTTCGAATGCAATACGGATGAACATTATCGGTTAGACGCGACATCGGACGACAGTCAGTTCACGATAACTGATCTTAAGAAAACGCACATACCTTCCTAACGACGTCGATAATATATATATTAACCTCCTTCCCACTAAGGTAGCCTTTGGACAAGGCATCTATAGGGTATGATCTACTAACTCTCTGACGGAGTATTCACCAAAGATACATTATTAGAGCCACGCCTCTTTTGCAGTCACCATCAGACGAAACCAAGAATTGAAAACTGCGCCAACAATCAAAAGTTACATTCTGTGACAGCTAAACATCAAGCTCCGTACTCAACAGGATCAGATCAACAATCCCCTGAATTCAAATATAGATAATGGGGAGGACTTAATCCTCAAAAATTGTAACCCAACTAGCCTATTGCACAGACGCAACACCATCGATATACCCCAATCTATTGTGGAAAATCCACTAGTTGGAGCTTCTTCGCGACTCCCTTTTAACTCCCAGACTCGTGTTCCGTGGAAAACCTAAGTCTCTGCCAGCCAGGCTGATCGGTTCGAACAGTAATCACAACACGAGCACTCTGTCGGTAACCGCTGGAATACCGCGGTACTGTCTGGCTCTATTTCACCTATTTCCCACTACCTCAAGATTGGACATCATATACGTCATCTCTCTCGCAGATGAGCAAATCTCTTTCTAGCTAAAACTCCCAACCCCTTAGTGGATCTCTTCAGACTGAAGAGCAAGGTGAAGGCACTGTTTGCGCAGTGGCGACACATCTTGACACAACTAGCCACCTCTTTTGCAGTTCAATCTTCACTCCCGCACTTTCAGTGTCTAAAGTAAAACTCAGGCACGGATCTTGCCGACGAAAATTAACATGTTTTATGTATAGTTTCCCCTCTTCGGATTATACATCTCACCAATCTGTTGCTTTGGATACTAGGCAACTCACGCCTCGCCAGACGAAAAGCAGTCGCTTAAGCTAAAGCAACAACAACAACAACAACAACACCACCACCACCACCACCCCGCCGCCGCTACTACAAAACATCATAATTTACTTTGCTTTTAATATACATGCTCTTGTTCTCTTTTTACTTTTATATAATGAAACAAGTGCCCTGTTACACACCGCCAATCCCGTCGCTTTTCATAGGCAGGTAAGTCGGTCACTGGACCTGCCACCGCTCACCTTCACTTCGTCGCTCTCGTCCTCCTCTCACTTCCATTTCTCTCTCTGCTCAAGTGAGAATTTCCCAGGTTGCTAACTAGCCTCCCAGCCACCCTGCCTACTGGAAGGTATTTGAGGCCGCCTCCGCTCGCCTTCAACCTTCTCCCCAACACCAACTTTTTCCCTTACACCTACGTTTGACCTGCGCCGACAACCCAACCCTTTATACTTTCAACCATCAATACCCTTTTACGCTCCTCGTCTTCTACTTTGATTTTCATTCCTCACCAAATACTTCTTACAATGGATCAGTCAATGATTCCCATCATGGGCCCTTCCGATATGCAGTTTGATGCTGCGGAGTTCGATTCCACCTTTCAGACCGAAGCAAATGTTCCAAACAGCATCCAGGTTCTAGATGAATCTGATGTGATGCTCTTTGTCACGAACTTTGCTTCTGGATTTGTCCGTGTCCGCATTCCTCAGCTTAGCTTGAACAACATGTGTGATGAGACACGTATTCAGCTTCTTTTGCGAGTCGTTGAAGTCACCGGCTATAACCTTGTCCTGGATGAAGAGCCTGACTGCGTCTTCTATCTTAGGTGGATGCCAGGCGGTGCTTCATTGCCTTCAGTCTCGTCGCCAACCACCAACGCCAACTTCACTGATTTCGACATCCCCACTGACGATACAACATTCATGGAGCCGGATGATGACATTGAGAACCCCAGAATCCCCACTGGAGCTGGCCCTGGCGGTCGCAAGAATCCTCCTCGTCCCATGAATTGCTGGATGCTTTACAGAGACGAGAAACACAGGGAGCTCAAGGCGAAAAACCCTAATCTCACCGTACAGCAGATCTGTAAGTCATCCTCCTCCAGACATGTTTGGTCTCAATGCTAATATTATGCAGCTACAATTTGCTCAGAGGGCTGGAGGAAATTGTCCGCTGCCGAAAAGGATCACTACAGATCTCAAGCTAAGCTGGCAAAGGAACTTCATCAGCGAGAGTTCCCTAACTACAAGTACACCCCTCGCAAGCCCGGCCAGAAAAAGAAGCGCCAGTCTCGCAAGCTGAAGGCTAGAAATGCAGCATCTGTTGTTGCTAGCACCGATGCAGAGGCCGCCAATTTCGATCAGGAGGCTTTCACTACTGAAGTTGCTGAGGCCTTCGCCAACACCTCCTCAGTGACTTCCACTACCGATGATAGCCCCGAAGCAGCATCGAACGACTTTGCGTTCTCAGCTACCAACACTGCTATTTCCACGGACGAGTCTCCCATTGCAGCCAGCGAAATTCCCCAGGAAGAAATTTCTCCTTTCTACTCTGCCTACGTTCATCAGGCTGAGGTTTTGCGTCAGTCTATGCTTGAGGAAGAGTTTGGACAGCCTTTCGCTGCCGAGGAAAATGGCGAAGATGAACTGGCATTCCACTTCGGCGCCGATGAGGATGCAACCCTTCCTACCTTCTACAAGGACTTCTTCTAGGCGTAGACAGCTATGTCTTTTATCGCCTTTCAAAGTCCCCGTTGGCTACGGTACTTTCTCTCATCACGATGGAGGTTCCCTCGGCATCTCTGTGCAACTACACATCCTCCTGCAATGGATTTGCGAACTTTTTGCGTAGCTGACATGCTCTCATATGGCAAGGACGAACCACTCATTCCTGATTCTTGTTTACGGGTTCATGCACAGTGGCTGCAGGGAACATTGTTTCCTGTTCTTCTTTACGATCGAACTTATCGCCCCTAATACTCCCACGGAAACCGCCTCAATGCTGAACATCTTAGATGTCCCCAATTTCCCACCTTTGCGCACACATCCATGGCTTTCTTCTTTTTTTAGACGAGGTCCTCAGTTCTTGGTCTTCCTTCCCTGCACAAGCCCCCATTTTCTCGGAACCCACCCCCATCGATGGTTTCTTTTCTCATACACGGACGGTTTCCTTTATTCTCTTATCCACTAATGGGCAACTTTCTTTTCTTCATACACGAATGGGTTCTTTTCCTCATGCAAACGCGACAACGACATCGAAATTATATGACGGGCTTCTTTCGGATCATCTGGTTCTCACGCGGCACCGTACAGCAAGGTCTCTCTTTCACGAGAGAAGGCTCATGCTCAGGACCAAGTTTGCAACCAGATGCCTTCTCCTTATAGGCGCCTTATACCCCCTCGGATTATCAGCACAGCACAATTGGTAGGAACTTCATACGGATTAATCGGATGGCGTATTCAGATGGAACATTCGGCCTGGATATGGAGCTCATGGCTTCTTTAGGACATATTGGTGGTGGTCACTTCACTGGTCACGGTATGCTACTTCCGTGGACGCGTCAAGGATCTCCAGTCCTGGCAGGTGAATTTGGTTCCTTTCCATAGTCCTTT